GCTGCCAAGATTGAAAAATGTATATTTATTGGAAGACGAAAGAGAATGCAATACAACCAATAAACCCTAAGATGATAAATCACACTAACCGAAATGTCGTGTTAAAAAATGAATGAATAGTTCATGTCCAACAATGCATGGAACAGGTGTGTTCAAAAAGTGTGCACATTTCACGCTCCTGGTAAAAACCGGCCAATTATCTCCCACTCAATTACAAATATTGATTGGGGGCTTGGCAAAAGCAGCAAGAATTACACTAATGGTCCAAAAGTGGTCCAAGCTCCATACATCAGTGTGTTAGAGACAAACTTGGTGCCAAGCCACTGCAGAAAGAGGAGCCAAAGATGATATCGTTTACACGTGGTCTAAAGGGACAAGACACCTGGACTGCACCACTCCACAATACTGGAGAGAGAAGCAATTCAATTTGTATCGATGAGCTTTATGTTAAAAATAGTATTTATATAAATGAAAACTGCCTCTGGCAACACATTTTGTTTTTAATGATGAAATCAGTCCTAGGGCAATAAACATAGAACACAAGACTAGTGTTGTGTACATGTGCACTTTATTGTCCCTGTAGGTAAATTTATCCTCTGCATTTGACCCTGATGGCTTCCGTCAGGAGCAGGAACCATACTCCAGATGTTGATACTTGGCTTGGTCAGGACTGGAGTTGGATGATTTTACCCATTGTTCATGTTTTTAGTGGTAGGGAGAACATGCAAACTGCACTCAGACCTTGTTCCGACCGGGATTCAAACCCATGACCTTCTTGCGGAGAAGCAAGAGTGCTAACTTAGCCATTTTCTTGCGTGACCATAGGGGCTGAAACTTTACCTCTAGGCTTTACTGGTTTGGCAGCACAAAGTGACAACCTTTCCACCGCTCCACTGTGGACTATTTGAGGTGAGGCTGTGTCTTTCCATATTAAGTTAGAGATGACACTGAGGGCTGGAAGGGAATGAGATCATAAAATGAAGAAAATGCATGCTGGGCAGCAAAAATCATTTGAAAATGTTTAACAATATACAAATAGTAAAAATGTAATTGTTCTTTTCCTGAAAAAGCAAGGCTGCAGGCTGGACTGTGGACATGCCAGAAAAATGTAATTCCTATATGACGTGCACGGTTTTTAAAATACATTTAGTATTGATTGATAAATGTATTGTTTAATATATTTTAGAGTTGAATTTTGTGTCAAGTCTAAAAAAACGTAAAAAATCCCATTCCTTGAATAATTGATAAAGCGCACTGGATTACACTTCGAAATTGATTGATGCAGCACAAATGTAGACCACATACATGTAGCTGCTCAAGCTCATACTGAATCATGTATTGGGGTTTTGGGAAAGTCAAAACTAGCTGGATTATCTTTTTATTTGCCTTACTTCCACCAGTCTGTCTAAGGGTGTCTTTGGGCATAATACAAACTGCTGTACTAAGTACTGCAGTATTATTACTGTCATTGATCGGATGAATAGATCAGAATGAAATGTTGATCAGACCATTTAATAATAAAGAGGTTTCGAAAGTCATTGGTAACATTTATATTAACAAGTAATCTTAGAATAACCCTTGATGAATATGCTTAGGGATGAATTCCTTTCTAGAGGTTTATCTTCACATAGCAGGGCTTCTGCTTGTACGATAAGCCTTTGTATGAAAAAAAATGACGACGTGGCCTTAAGGTGTCCTTGTTGGCTGTCCTGTTGCCTTCAGGTGCCATCATCTCTAAATGCAGCGTCTTGCCTCTGGGCTGTCAGTCAGTTTGTGGTATAATTTCAGAGATGGAGGGGTTTTTTAGGCTGTGCTGGAGCTGGCTGTAGAGTGGAGAGGTCTCACTCTGGAGCCTCCAGCAGAACCAGGCTGTTGACAGGCTGCTGATACTTAATAATGGTCTGGAAGATTTGATACATTGGAAAAGTAGACAGCCTCAAGGAGACAGAGGCACCAAGTTGCAGATTTCTGAGTGGAACCGATTCATATCTTTTTGCATTTCCACCTCACCGTACCTCTGTTCTGAACTCTGCCTGAACCTGGGAGTTGAAATCAGTTCATGTGAGCCTCATCGCAGAAAACCAAGTCCCCACATTCTTCTGTTGTTAAGGGCTTTGAAATGACTTGAAGAGGAAGTCTCACTGATTGCATTTAGTTTAAAGTGGTCCCTCTGAGTTGGGCAGAAGCTCTTCAAGAAGCTGTGATACTTGCTTAATTACATTTCCCTAAAGCACACAGCTAAATTAATTGTTTTCTAGTGCGAATGTTTCTAGCGTCTCCAGAGTTTCAGTTGCTCTCCCCACTGGATCCCTGTGCGAGTGAAACAGTGCAAAACGCCATTGGCACACAGAGCACAGAAGGAAGCTTCTTAAGTTATTGCCAAACTAGTTAAAACATTAGCAACATTCAGTTGATTTTATAGCTTGTCCACATGTTTTGTTTAATTAAAACAATTTTGTAGTGACCCATTTGGTATGATTTTTATTTTTACAGGGACAGTGTACAATAAACATTAGCCAAGAGAAGAGATGCATTGTACCAGGTTGTAGTAGCTACTTTACAGCTGTAGTCCATGAGCAGATTGTAGTAAAACAGTAAAAAAGTGGATGGATACATGACCATACATGTATCAAGCAGAAATTACAATTTATCGTAAAATGTATGGTAAATCTAGAAAAGCATCTACTAAAAAGTATCCCGTGACTGCTTCAATCAGACATTTTTCGCTTATGTCTAAATAGCAATTCACACATAGCATTTGGACAGAGATTGAAAAAGAGCAGTTGAGTAAAAATACACAATCTGTAATTGATACACAAAATGCAAGATATTAATTCAACAATTCACTAAGAAAGGTTGAATTAGGAAAGCAGCGGAGGGAAAACTATACTATTGGCACTTATTGGGAGAAAGAACAAAGGAAAAAAGCATGCTCTAAGAAACTTCACAACTATACTAGGGTAAGTAAAACTGAAGTCAGCAGTTAATTTCAAAGAATGTAGTTCAAGTAAAATTGAATTTACAGTTCTTTATATGCGATGAGATCATTTGTTTCATACTTTATCATGTTCACCTTTTAAATTATTTGATGCAATGTTTAAGTACCTTAGGCACTTTATGAAAAGGATTGTACCTTCTTGGATTGCCTCAGATATGCAGTGGAGCTGAATCGTCTGAAGCTGCGACAAATCGGTTTGGAAGCGCCACCGTCCCTGATTACGAGGGCCTTTTCTCTGCCCAGTCCTTCTCATTCAACACTCGCAGAAAAATGTCTATATGTCTAGTGGGCGGGGGCTGACCACCACTCCTCAGTCCAGCCAAAGGAGGGATTATCATCTCCTGACAGTCCGTTTGAAGTACGTGATCGTCTTCAGAGCGTGCCCAGCACAGAGAGGATTTGGTTAATTACAAAGTGCCACTCATGATCACCGTGGGGCGTTTCTTCAGCGTGTTCTTGTCAGACGCTACAAAATCACTTATTATGAATGAGAGCGAGAAAAAGGCTCCATCAGGGTCAGCGCTATGAGGAGCATTAATAAGGCAGTGACTGCAAAAAGGCAGGGGAGCAGAACGCCACCTTTACCTCAAAGGAGATGGGGCCAAAAAACAACCAGTCTGCTTAGTCAGATGTCCAAAAATAGAAGCAATATTAAAGAGCAGCAACGGAAACATAAATGAGTAAGATTCTACAGCTGCTCAGTGAGAAATGAATGGGCTTGATGTAGTCCATTGTTTATTGATTGACTTTTACTTGAGGAGTCGGAACACATCAGGGAAAGCGTTGGCAGGCATTTTAAACACTTGCGGAACAAATCACAGCAGAGATGACTTTGGAGACAACTTTAGGACACAACATCTAAGGCAGTAAAAGGATCATTCTAAATAGTCTGTAGATCCACCATTTTATATACCATGTACTGTAGACCCAAAGAACCAGAAAGAATATGGGTTGGCAGTGATTTTGAAAAGTAAATCTTACATTTTTGCTATAGAAAAACTTAAAAGGAGTTAGACAGTTTGAACCATGAGTGATGTTTCTTTGATCTTCTTGACACTGATTGTTGAATGATCTTTAAGGTTAAATAGTCAGAGGTGCACATAACTGGTTTGCAGGTACGCATGCGCAACAAATCAGAAATGTGTGCCATGACCCTTGCGTACTTCTCATAGACCAGTCCTTCTCAAATAGTGGGGCGCTCTCCTAGAGGGGAGGGGGGCGTGACCGCTGGGAACTTGCAGTTGTTTGCTGTTTGTACTTGAACGGGATTCCGCATCGCTATTTGAGCCGCTTTGACAACAACGTGGGGAACGCACAGCCGTAACTTGGTAATAATGTAGCCAGGACCCACACGTGCACAGGACCATTCTCTGCTTGTTGTGTGCGTGTCTTTGCATAACTAAATACACCACTGCAAGAAACAGAGCTGGATGATGGAGCCTCAGGGAGTGTCCATGTCTTCCCGTGTCTCCTTCCAAAGAGCAACTAAAACTCACTAAATGAAAGCTGGAGTACCCTAATTTTCCATTGCTTTAATAATTCATGTTTGTTGTTCCCAAGAGTAAAATTGTGTAAATAACAACAAAATCAAACAGAACAAACCACGTCTTTTGATTATTTTTTTGAGAGTGGATTAAAGAAGGATTGAGAAGTATAAAATCTCAAGAACCACACAACAAATGGTGTGAGTACCAAATACTTAAGTGCACCCCTTTTTATAGTAATAGATCTTAAAAGGTAGTTTGATTGTTTAGAGGAACAGTGGGACATGACTGTAATCAACCTACTAGATTATATTTTGAGCTGCATGGGGGTTTGATTTGATGGTGGAAAGGAATGTGGGAGTTCCTTGAGTGATTGGAAGGCAAGGGCATTTTATTGTTTAAGACAGATTGTAATCCAGTCAATGTGCTTTGGGGATTTTTATGGTCAAAATGGATCTTTCGGGGCAGCTGTGCTCGCTGGGTTGTTGAAGTAATGTGAATGTGTGGGTGTAGCGTACCTTTGTGGTTGAGGCAGCGAATGCTCTGTTTGCTTTGAATGTCCCAAAGTCGAGCCGTTTCATCATGAGAACCTGACAGGAGGAGTGTCCCATCCATGGACATAGAAAGGCAAGTCACCAGATTCCTACAAATAACATCAACTCTTGGTTAAGAAATTGAACAGGGTCATAAAATGGTCAAGACATCAACCGCTGCAAGAGTAAAGGTTACATGGGATATATAGATTGTACTAATCTTATTAAAGCATCCATGTCTTTATCCTTATTTGAGATGGCATTTAAAAGCGGTGTGTTTCTTTGGAGCTGTTGCACGGAGTCATTGGTCACTCGAAACGGTTTCTTGTCAAATCAGTCTGGAGAACCCATCACAGTGCTTCGGCTGTCAACTTTTACCCATCAACCCTTCATTCCCCCACTCCAATTCACTGCAACTTTTTCTTATTTCACATTTCAGTGTGCCACGAGGAGAGATGGGTAGTGCGAGAGTCAAAAGCTCTTTTCTACCAGCTGTCCACATGTCTTAAGAGACATAAAAATAAATAAAAACATTTGACAAATAAGTAGTAATGCACTATTTAATTAAACGTCCAAACAGGATAATATTCCAGCAGTTTCATCACTCAAGTCACAAAGAATAAAGTTAGCAAGAAGATCTAAGTACCAAATGTTAGGGCAAACAAAGGGAATTTCACTTTCAAATTAATCAGTTTGTAAATTAATTCTTTTTTTTTTTCCATTTTCCTATTTAAAATCTTTACTTTCAAGCACATAAAGGATATTCCTGCAAGTTTGTGAGTGGTTTTACAGTCCCACAGAGTTCAATTCTATCAATATCACATTTCTTACTGAAAACAAATACCAGAGGTGTATAAATATTTGTTTTCTCCTCACATTTAGCTGCAATCTCACCTGTGTCCCTTGAACACCTGGTTACCGGCGTCCCCGCTCTGAAACTGTTTATCCCGTGTGATGCTCTGAAACACAAAAGGTTTTACTTTATTAGTCTGCTGCTCCACTATCTGCAGCCCCAGTGCTCCTCTGCCTCCTTTTGGGCTACGGACTGCTGCCGGCCGTAAACGCTTTGATCAATTCCCAATTATAGATTTGGTTACATCAGCAGGTCTGCGGCGAGAACAAGTCTGGAAGCACCAAAGAGTTTGTGTTTCCTGACCGACACCGTGTTTATACACTTACATTAACGCTGGGGACAGAATCAAATATTGGGGTTAAAAAAAAGCTCAGAGCGCATCAGACTGAGATGAAACGAGATAATACAAACTATTATTATTATTATTGCTTCAAACTAACAGTTTACAAAAAGGCTTACAAAAAGACTTCCTTGGTAAGACAGTTTTGTGAAGTGAAACTTGTTTGTATTAGAACGTTAAAAAGTTAATTTATTTCTGTAGACTTAAACTCAAAATGTGAACCAATGTAATAGGGTTAGGGTTAGGCTGTGAGCAATAACATTAAAGACTTTGTATGTGTCACTTTGTAGCATAGTATATAATACGCATCACACTGTAAAATCAAATGAATAAAGTCATAAGGACTTTTGAATGATATTCTAAATGCTCAGAGTTTCATCTGTATCTTGAAAATTTTTCAGAAAATATGCATCTGACATTCAATTTTTATTATACACAGTGTTGGGTAGAATACTTTGAACATTGACTTAGTAGAGAATACTAAAAACCCACTTTGTGATGTCATTAGTTTATTCAGAATACTTGCAAAATATAGTGTAGAAATTCTGTGATGGATTTTTAACATTTTGTTTAATGAATTTGTGTTAGTAAGAAAAATATAACACTCATTCCTTAAAGTGACAGGTTTAATAGTTAATAACGTATACACCGACTAAATTAAATGTGTAACCACTTGGGTCAAACATAATGACAAATGTTTCGAACGAATGAATCACAAAATACTGGTTCAATCCGTGTTGACAAGTCCCAAGAACACGAGGCAATTAAAATTCAACACGACAGCTCAGTTAAATGTTTCTGTCCGTCAGATAGGTGACAGTGGTAATGATGCAGTGACTTGTGGCGACCTCTGGCTTGTTGTTGCAGCTCGACTCTTCATTGATAAACTTGTCACAGAGCCCCTGGAAGCATGAGACCAACTCTGCTTCATTACCCTGTGAATTGGGTTTAAGCGGTGGATGCAAAACAAACATCTCAGGTATAAACGGCTTGAACTCTCATAAAGGTCAGACAAGCAGAACGGATAATCTGGCAGCAGCCGCGAAAAACATCTTCAAGAGAAACAGACAGATGGGAATAGTTTTATTTGTGAAAGTGTTTAGGTGCTGAAGCCTCACATGACTCTGAAAGGTCCAGGACTTTGATGTTGCGAGACCTGCTGACTCCAATTCAACCAAAGGTCAAACAAGTAAAATACATCTAAATCCAGCACTAATACCTGAGGAGACCTACTACTTTGCAATATTAAAAGCCTAAAATCAAAGATACACCATTCATTATTTCAATTGCCATATGTGGGAGCAGAAACACGTGTGTCCATACAACCGTCCATTTTCTTCCCCTTTGGTGCGTCAGAAGGTGGCAGTAAGAGGCCACCCAATTCACAGAGCACCAGCCCCTCACTGATCCTCCTGCAGGCGGCAGTATAACCTAGATGTCTTTCAGCGGGGGCTTCAGGCCAAATGGGACAACAGACATCAGTGGGAGTGGAAAAAGTCTTGTGGTGGGCCCGAACCCACAACCTTCAGGCTCAAGGGCCAATGCTCTCCCAACTGAGCCACCGTCTCCCCAGTGTATATCGTTGGCAATTGATGAAAATGTAGTTAATTATTCTATTGAAAAAATTCTGTTGAAATATTCCTTCTAAAAAAACAAATATTTTAATATCTAGTTGGGCTGGTGCCGTGTGTACTGGGTGCAGCTCTGACTGCAACCCCCCCGACCCAGAAATGGATTAAGGGGAAGAAAATGGATGGATGGATGGATAGTTGGGCATGCATTACGCGGCTCCACAAAAAAAACCCAAATACTTCCAAACATGGCCTTGGGTTAAAATCCCTGTCCCTGCTAGAGTAGTATGCTCTACATCAGGGGTGCTCACACTTTTTCAGCATGCGAGCTACTTATAAAAGGATCAAGCCAAAATGATCTACCTACTACAAAAATGCAAATCATATATTTATTTCAAAAAATATTCTTTATACCTACAATGTATGTTTATGTACATGCAAAACCGCATGAGCCAATATAGCACAACACAACACAATTACCTATGTACATTTTTTGTCATTACCCGAGTTTACTCTGATGACTTGCTCTGAATTGAATCGGCCAGGGATGCATAGTCCGGAAAATTGGTGGTAACTCGCTGACAAGTTTGTCGTGGTTTAGCTTTCCTGCACTGAGCGCGGTTGTTTGCGCATGTGCAGTCACCTAAGTGTCAGTAAAACATTACTGAGTAAAACACAGATGTCATTTGACTGTGGTGCCATGTCCATGTGCCATGCCTGTTTTTTTTAAATCCAACTATTTCCCCTCCTCAGTTTATAAAATAATTTGCATCCACACATCTGCGTTATCAATCACATTCGTAACATTCCAAACATGTGCGTCTCTTACGTCCTGTCCTGCGTTGGGGAAAAACACAGAAGTGGGCGGAGCTTTGATGCAGACGCCGGTAACGGCACTTTTACAGTCATAGAAGACACTCAGAGTAAGACGTATGTTTACAAGCACTGACCCCGTCCTCAGCCCTGGTTTAGTCCTGGTTTAGTCCTGGTTTGGTTGTTCTCGAGCGTGAGTCCCCGCGATCACTTTGTTGCTCTCTGATGTGGAGCGAGGATGTTCGCTGCTGCGAGCATCTCACAGCGAAAAGTTTTTAAGGTAGTATGATCCATGCTTCAGTGATCAGACAAATTTAGGGGGGTACTGTGGCGTGCGAGAACGCAAAACTCCGGTTATCTCTGTCTACACACAAATGCATTAACGGAGTTTTCAAAAATCTCCACTTTGCCCGGAGTTTTTTGTATATATTCGTTTAGAATGTGTAATTTTTTCATTTATTTAATGCGATCTACCAATACTACCTTTGCGATCGACTGGTAGATCGCAATCGACGTATTGAGCACCCCTGCTCTACATAAACAGAAGCGGCGCCTCTGCTACTGCAGCCATGTTTCTCCACATTTCAAATATTCAATTTTAACATTTTTTATTTTTATTTTTTTTAAGTATTTGAATATGTATTCAAATGTACAATATTTGTAAGCCAAACGTTGAGAAGGGTGAATGAAGAGGGGTAATGAAAAGTCTCTCCAAATCACTATGCTGTTCGTAAACCTGACAAAATGATCAGAAGTTAAAGCTGTAATAATACATACTAATACTTTTGACATTTGATGATGTATTCATAAATATTAACACACATGAAATTACTTAATACATGGTGTGACATAAGTGGAGTTCTAAAAGAATATCATTATTTTTTGCTATATTTCAGTTTGAAAGAGAAGAGCAGCTTTGAACATCCACAGGGAATGGGAGACCATTTCTGTAGCTTTAAACAAGGATAAATGGAAAAGTAGTATTTATTGAAGACGTTTGTTTAGAGGATTAGTATAGTGCTAATCTCTGACATGCTAATCTACCGTGAAAGGATATTGCACAATACAAAACTTCATCCACATATTTATACAGTATAACAAGATCAATGTTGTTGTCCCCACAACCCTACCAAATTTAAATACTCAATGATATGCAAGTGATTTTTACAAACAGCAAATTACCTGAATGTGCCAATGTTATCCCTTCAGAGCCAAATTATTTGCCAAAAAAGTATATGTAGATATCAGTTTAAGTAAGAACACACCATCACTCACCTGACTGCATAATGAAACTTGGAATATGTTTCCGTCACTTCCGCCACAGAACAGGAAGTACTCAGAGGGGTCGAGGGTCACAGACATGATCGCAACATCAAACAGGACAGACAGCAGCATCTCCCCAGAAGACAATTCCCAAACCTGGAAAGGAGACATTAAACCAGTATATATTACCAGGTGATTTTCAAACGCAGTATGTACATAATTATATATTTACATGTCAGTGAGAGAAACAGTAGGGACGGAATCCATTAAAACACTAAACCTAAGGATCTAGACCTTCTTCTGTTCCCTGGGTAAAACAATGGCGAAGCAGAGCCCATCACCATGCTTCATCTGTCTTGTGTTTGTTGCATTGTCTTCCACACATCAAGCTGCAGGTCATGTATGATATGTACTATATTCTGTAAATGCATCTCATTCCTTTCAAAGCATATTCCAAAAAACACTATCTTCAGATTTCACAATTGATTTTCAAAACAAACAAATTTAAATGTATTGTGCTTGATGGATTAGTTCAAAATGGCAAACGTCCCTAAAGTAATATTGTGCATGAACAAGGATTTTCCACACATTGCATAGATATCAGGATGTTCTTATTCCACTTTAAAATTTCAACCGCAAAAGATATTACAATGTTTTGTCCTGCAATTTCAAACAAAAACAGGTGTTTTCTGAGCTGCTCAGTCACATTTACACGTCTTAATAAAGGCGATTTCGCTCAGAGGCACAGAGGACTCTTAACAGGGAGACTAGCAGGAGCAGGAGGACAGCAGGACAGGTGGAGGACAGCAGGACAGGTGGAGGACAGCGGGACAGATTGAGGGACAGCAGGACAGATTGAGGACAGCAGGACAGGTGGAGGACAGCAGGACAGGTGGAGGACAGCAGGACAGGTGGAGGACCGCAGGACAGATGGAGGACAGCAGGAGGACAGCAGGACAGATGGAGGACAGCAGGACAGGTGGAGGACAGCAGGACAGATTGAGGACAGCAGGACAGATTGAGGACAGCAGGACAGGTAGAGGACAGCAGGACAGGTGGAGGACAGCAGGACAGGTGGAGGACAGCAGGACAGATGGAGGACAGCAGGACAGGTGGAGGACAGCAGGACAGGTGGAGGACAGCAGGACAGGTGGAGGACAGCAGGACAGGTGGAGGACAGCAGGACAGGTGGAGGACAGCAGGAGGACAGCAGGACAGATGGAGGACAGCAGGACAGATGGAGGACAGCAGGACAGATGGAGGACAGCGGGAGGACAGCAGGACAGATGGAGGACAGCAGGACAGATGGAGGACAGCAGGACAGATGGAGGACAGATGGAGGACAGCAGGACAGATGGAGGACAGCAGGACAGGTGGAGGACAGCGGGAGGACAGCAGGACAGATGGAGGACAGCGGGAGGACATCAGGACAGATGGAGGACAGCAGGACAGGTGGAGGACAGCAGGACAGGTGGAGGACAGCGGGGAGGACAGCAGGACAGATGGAGGACAGCAGGACAGATGGAGGACAGCAGGACAGGTGGAGGACAGCAGGACAGGTGGAGGACAGCGGGAGGACAGCAGGACAGATGGAGGACAGCAGGACAGATGGAGGACAGCAGGACAGGTGGAGGACAGCAGGACAGGTGGAGGACAGCAGGACAGATTGAGGACAGCAGGACAGGTGGAGGACAGCAGGACAGGTGGAGGACAGCAGGACAGATGGAAGACAGCAGGACAGGTGGAGGACAGCAGGACAGGTGGAGGACAGGTGGAGGACAGCAGGACAGATGGAGGACAGCAGGACAGGTGGAGGACAGCAGGACAGATGGAGGACAGCAGGACAGATGGAGGACAGCAGGAGGACAGCAGGACAGATTGAGGACAGCAGGACAGATGGAGGACAGCAGGACAGATGGAGGACAGCAGGACAGATGGAGGACAGCAGGACAGATGGAGGACAGCAGGACAGATGGAGGACAGCAGGACAGATGGAGGACAGCAGGACAGATGGAGGACAGAAGGACAGGTGGAGGACAGCAGGACAGGTGGAGGACAGGTGGAGGACAGCAGGACAGGTGGAGGACAGCAGGACAGGTGGAGGACAGCAGGAGGACAGCAGGACAGGTGGAGGACAGCAGGACAGGTGGAAGACGGCGGGAGGACAGCAGGACAGATGGAGGACAGCAGGACAGGAGGACAGGACAGTGGAGGACAGCAGGACAGTGGAGGACAGCAGGACAGGTGGAGGACAGCAGGACAGATGGAGGACAGCAGGACAGTGGAGGACAGCAGGACAGGTGGAGGACAGCAGGACAGGTGGAGGACAGCAGGACAGGTGGAGGACAGCAGGACAGGTGGAGGACAGCAGGACAGGTGGAGGACAGCAGGACAGGTGGAGGACACAGCAGGACATGGAGGACAGCAGGACAGGGACGGGGAGGACAGCAGGACAGGTGGAGGACAGCAGGACAGGTGGAGGACAGCAGGACAGGTGGAGGACAGCGGAGGACAGGGAGGACAGCAGGACAGATGGAGGACAGCAGGACAGTGGAGGACAGAGGAGGACAGGTGGAGGACAGGGACAGGTGGAGGACAGGTGGAGGACAGATGGAGGACAGGTGGAGGACAGATGGAGGACAGCAGGACAGATGGAGGACAGCAGGACAGATGGAGGACAGCAGGACAGATGGAGGACAGCAGGACAGGTGGAGGACAGCAGGACAGATGGAGGACAGCAGGACAGATGGAGGACAGCAGGACAGGTGGAGGACAGCAGGACAGGTGGAGGACAGCGGGAGGACAGCAGGACAGATGGAGGACAGCAGGACAGATGGAGGACAGCAGGACAGATGGAGGACAGCAGGACAGATGGAGGACAGCAGGACAGATGGAGGACAGCAGGACAGGTGGAGGACAGCAGGACAGATGGAGGACAGCAGGACAGGTGGAGGACAGCAGGACAGGTGGAGGACAGCAGGACAGGTGGAGGACAGGTGGAGGACAGCAGGACAGGTGGAGGACAGCGGGAGGACAGCAGGAGGACAGCGGGAGGACAGCAGGACAGAGGGAGGACAGCAGGACAGATGGAGGACAGCAGGACAGGTGGAGGACAGCAGGACAGGTGGAGGACAGCAGGACAGGTGGAGGACAGCAGGACAGGTGGAGGACAGCGGGAGGACAGCAGGAGGACAGATGGAGGACAGCAGGACAGATGGAGGACAGCAGGACAGATGGAGGACAGCAGGACAGATGGAGGACAGCAGGACAGGTGGAGGACAGCAGGACAGGTGGAGGACAGCGGGAGGACAGCGGGAGGACAGCAGGAGGACAGCGGGAGGACAGCAGGACAGATGGAGGACAGCAGGACAGGTGGAGGACAGCAGGACAGGTGGAGGACAGCAGGACAGGTGGAGGACAGCGGGAGGACAGCAGGAGGACAGATGGAGGACAGCAGGACAGATGGAGGACAGCAGGACAGGTGGAGGACAGCAGGACAGGTGGAGGACAGGTGGAGGACAGCAGGACAGGTGGAGGACAGCAGGACAGATGGAGGACAGCAGGACAGATGGAGGACAGCAGGACAGATGGAGGACAGCAGGACAGATGGAGGACAGCAGGACAGATGGAGGACAGCAGGACAGATGGAGGACAGCAGGACAGGTGGAGGACAGGTGGAGGACAGCAGGACAGATGGACAGCAGGACAGATGGAGGACAGCAGGACAGATGGAGGACAGCAGGACAGATGGAGGACAGCAGGACAGATGGAGGACAGCAGGACAGATGGAGGACAGCAGGACAGATGGAGGACAGCAGGACAGATGGAGGACAGCAGGACAGGTGGAGGACAGCAGGAAAGGTGGAGGACAGCGGGAGGACAGCAGGACAGATGGAGGACAGCAGGACAGGTGGAGGACAGCAGGACAGATTGAGGACAGCAGGACAGATTGAGGACAGCAGGACAGATTGAGGACAGCAGGACAGATGGAGGACAGCAGGACAGGTGGAGGACAGCAGGACAGGTGGAGGACAGGTGGAGGACAGCAGGACAGATGGAGGACAGCAGGACAGATGGAGGACAGCAGGACAGATGGAGGACAGCAGGACAGATGGAGGACAGCAGGACAGATGGAGGACAGCAGGACAGATGGAGGACAGCAGGACAGATGGAGGACAGCAGGACAGATGGAGGACAGCAGGACAGGTGGAGGACAGCAGGAAAGGTGGAGGACAGCGGGAGGACAGCAGGACAGATGGAGGACAGCAGGACAGATGGAGGACAGCAGGACAGATGGAGGACAGCAGGACAGGTGGAGGACAGCAGGACAGGTGGAGGACAGCAGGACAGGTGGAGGACAGCGGGAGGACAGCAGGAGGACAGCGGGAGGACAGCAGGAGGACAGATGGAGGACAGCAGGACAGATGGAGGACAGCAGGACAGATGGAGGACAGCAGGACAGATGGAGGACAGCAGGACAGATGGAGGACAGCAGGACAGGTGGAGGACAGCAGGACAGGTGGAGGACAGCAGGACAGGTGGAGGACAGCAGGACAGGTGGAGGACAGCGGGAGGACAGCGGGAGGACAGCGGGAGGACAGCGGGAGGACCGCAGGACAGATGGAGGACAGCAGGACAGATGGAGGACAGCAGGACAGGTGGAGGACAGCAGGACAGGTGGAGGACAGCGGGAGGACAGCAGGACAGATGGAGGACAGCAGGACAGGTGGAGGACAGCAGGACAGGTGGAGGACAGCAGGACAGATGGAGGACAGCAGGACAGGTGGAGGACAGCAGGACAGATGGAGGACAGCAGGACAGATGGAGGACAGCAGGACAGGTGGAGGACAGCAGGACAGGTGGAGGACAGCGGGAGGACAGGTGGAGGACAGCGGGAGGACAGGTGGAGGACAGCGGGAGGACAGCAGGACAGATGGAGGACAGCAGGACAGATGGAGGACAGCAGGACAGGTGGAGGACAGCGGGAGGACAGCAGGACAGATGGAGGACAGCAGGACAGGTGGAGGACAGCAGGACAGGTGGAGGACAGCAGGACAGGTGGAGGACAGCAGGACAGGTGGAGGACAGCAGGACAGGTGGAGGACAGCAGGACAGGTGGAGGACAGCAGGACAGATGGAGGACAGCAGGACAGCGGGAGGACAGCAGGACAGGTGGAGGACAGCAGGACAGGTGGAGGACAGCGGGAGGACAGCAGGAGGACAGATGGAGGACAGCAGGACAGATGGAGGACAGCAGGACAGATGGAGGACAGCAGGACAGATGGAGGACAGCAGGACAGATGGAGGACAGCAGGAATGATGGAGGACAGCAGGACAGATGGAGGACAGCAGGACAGATGGAGGACAGCAGGACAGATGGAGGACAGCAGGACAGATGGAGGACAGCAGGACAGGTGGAGGACAGCAGGACAGGTGGAGGACAGCAGGACAGGTGGAGGACAGCAGGACAGGTGGAGGACAGCGGGAGGACAGCAGGACAGATGGAGGACAGCAGGACAGATGGAGGACAGCAGGACAGGTGGAGGACAGCAGGACAGGTGGAGGACAGCAGGACAGGTGGAGGACAGCGGGACAGGTGGAGGACAGCGGGAGGACAGCAGGACAGATGGAGGACAGCAGGACAGGTGGAGGACAGCAGGACAGGTGGAGGACAGCAGGACAGATGGAGGACAGCAGGACAGATGGAGGACAGCTGGACAGGTGGAGGACAGCAGGACAGGTGGAGGACAGCAGGAGAGGTGGAGGACAGCAGGACAGGTGGAGGACAGCGGGAGGACAGCAGGACAGATGGAGGACAGCAGGACAGGTGGAGGACAGCGGGAGGACAGCAGGACAGATGGAGGACAGCAGGACAGGTGGAGGACAGCAGGAGGACAGCAGGACAGATGGAGGACAGCAGGACAGGTGGAGGACAGCAGGACAGGTGGAGGACAGCAGGACAGGTGGAGGACAGCAAGACAGGTGGAGGACAGCAGGAGGACAGCAGGACAGATGGAGGACAGCAGGACAGATGGAGGACAGCAGGACAGGTGGAGGACAGCAGGACAGATGGAGGACAGCAGGACAGTTGGAGGACAGCAGGACAGGTGGAGGACAGCAGGACAGGTGGAGGACAGGTGGAGGACAGCAGGACAGGTGGAGGACAGCAGGAGGACAGCAGGACAGGTGGAGGACAGCAGGACAGGTGGAGGACAGCAGGACAGATGGAGGACAGCGGGAGGATAGCAGGACAGATGGAGGACAGCGGGAGGATAGCAGGACAGATTGAGGACAGCAGGACAGATGGAGGACAGCAGGACAGATGGAGGACAGCAGGACAGATGGAGGACAGCAGGACAGATGGAGGACAGCAGGACAGATGGAGGACAGCAGGACAGGTGGAGGACAGCGGGAGGACAGGTGGAGGACAGCGGGAGGACAGCAGGACAGATGGAGGACAGCAGGACAGGTGGAGGACAGCAGGACAGGTGGAGGACAGCGGGACGACAGCAGGACAGATGGACAGGTGGAGGACAGCAGGACAGGTGGAGGACAGCAGGAGGACAGGTGGAGGACAGCGGGAGGACAGCAGGACAGATGGAGGACAGCAGGACAGATGGAGGACAGCAGGACAGGTGGAGGACAGCTGGACAGGTGGAGGACAGCTGGACAGGTGGAGGACAGCTGGACAGGTGGAGGACAGCGGGAGGACAGGTGGAGGACAGATGGAGGACAGCAGGACAGATGGAGGACAGCAGGACAGGTGGAGGACAGCTGGACAGGTGGAGGACAGCGGGAGGACAGCAGGACAGATGGAGGACAGCAGGACAGGTGGAGGACAGCAGGACAGGTGGAGGACAGCAGGACAGATGGAGGACAGCAGGACAGATGGAGGACAGCAGGACAGATGGAGGACAGCAGGACAGATGGAGGACAGCAGGACAGATGGAGGAATTCAGGACAGGTGGAGGACAGCAGGACAGGTGGAGGACAGCAGGACAGATGGAGGACAGCAGGAGGATAGCAGGACAGATGGAGGACAGCGGGAGGATAGCAGGACAGATGGAGGACAGCGGGACAGATGGAGGACAGCGGGACAGATGGAGGACAGCGGGACAGATGGAGGACAGCAGGACAGGTGGAGGACAGCAGGACAGGTGGAGGACAGCAGGACAGGTGGAGGACAGCAGGACAGGTGGAGGACAGCAGGACAGGTGGAGGACAGCAGGACAGGTGGAGGACAGCAGGACAGATGGAGGACAGCAGGACAGATGGAGGACAGCAGGACAGGTGGAGGACAGCAGGACAGGTGGAGGACAGCAGGACAGGTGGAGGACAGCGGGAGGACAGCAGGAGGACAGATGGAGGACAGCAGGACAGATGGAGGACAGCAGGACAGATGGAGGACAGCAGGACAGATGGAGGACAGCAGGACAGATGGAGGACAGCAGGACAGGTGGAGGACAGCAGGACAGGTGGAGGACAGCAGGACAGGTGGAGGACAGCAGGACAGGTGGAGGACAGCAGGACAGGTGGAGGACAGCGGGAGGACAGCAGGACAGATGGAGGACAGCAGGACAGATGGAGGACAGCAGGACAGGTGGAGGACAGCAGGACAGATGGAGGACAGCAGGACAGATGGAGGACAGCAGGACAGGTGGAGGACAGCAGGACAGGTGGAGGACAGCAGGACAGGTGGAGGACAGCAGGACAGGTGGAGGACAGGTGGAGGACAGCAGGACAGGTGGAGGACAGCAGGACAGGTGGAGGACAGCAGGAGGACAGCAGGAGGACAGCAGGACAGATGGAGGACAGCAGGACAGATGGAGGACAGCAGGACAGGTGGAGGACAGCGGGAGGACAGCAGGACAGATGGAGGACAGCAGGACAGGTGGAGGACAGCAGGACAGGTGGAGGACAGCAGGACAGATGGAGGACAGCAGGACAGATGGAGGACAGCTGGACAGGTGGAGGACAGCAGGACAGGTGGAGGACAGGTGGAGGACAGCAGGACAGGTGGAGGACAGCAGGAGGACAGATGGAGGACAGCAGGACAGGTGGAGGACAGCGGGAGGACAGCAGGACAGATGGAGGACAGCAGGACAGGTGGAGGACAGCAGGAGGACAGCAGGACAGGTGGAGGACAGCAGGAGGACAGCAGGACAGATGGAGGACAGCAGGACAGGTGGAGGACAGCAGGACAGGTGGAGGACAGCAGGACAGGTGGAGGACAGCAGGAGGACAGCAGGACAGATGGAGGACAGCAGGACAGATGGAGGACAGCAGGACAGATGGAGGACAGCAGGACAGATGGAGGACAGCAGGACAGATGGAGGACAGCAGGACAGTTGGAGGACAGCAGGACAGTTGGAGGACAGGTGGAGGACAGGTGGAGGACAGGTGGAGGACAGCAGGACAGGTGGAGGACAGCAGGACAGGTGGAGGACAGCAGGACAGATGGAGGACAGCGGGAGGATAGCAGGACAGATGGAGGACAGCGGGAGGATAGCAGGACAGATTGAGGACAGCAGGACAGATGGAGGACAGCAGGACAGATGGAGGACAGCAGGACAGATGGAGGACAGCAGGACAGGTGGAGGACAGCAGGACAGGTGGAGGACAGCAGGACAGATGGAGGACAGCGGGAGGACAGGTGGAGGACAGCGGGAGGACAGCAGGACAGATGGAGGACAGCAGGACAGGTGGAGGACAGCAGGACAGGTGGAGGACAGCGGGACGACAGCAGGACAGATGGACAGGTGGAGGACAGCAGGACAGATGGAGGACAGCAGGACAGGTGGAGGACAGCAGGACAGGTGGAGGACAGCAGGACAGGTGGAGGACAGCAGGACAGGTGGAGGACAGCAGGACAGATGGAGGACAGCGGGAGGATAGCAGGACAGATGGAGGACAGCGGGAGGATAGCAGGACAGATTGAGGACAGCAGGACAGATGGAGGACAGCAGGACAGATGGAGGACAGCAGGACAGATGGAGGACAGCAGGACAGGTGGAGGACAGCAGGACAGGTGGAGGACAGCAGGACAGATGGAGGACAGCGGGAGGACAGGTGGAGGACAGCGGGAGGACAGCAGGACAGATGGAGGACAGCAGGACAGGTGGAGGACAGCAGGACAGGTGGAGGACAGCGGGACGACAGCAGGACAGATGGACAGGTGGAGGACAGCAGGACAGATGGAGGACAGCAGGACAGGTGGAGGACAGCAGGACAGGTGGAGGACAGCGGGAGGACAGCAGGACAGATGGAGGACAGCAGGACAGATGGACAGGTGGAGGACAGCAGGACAGATGGAGGAATTCAGGACAGGTGGAGGACAGCAGGACAGGTGGAGGACAGCAGGACAGATGGAGGACAGCAGGAGGATAGCAGGACAGATGGAGGACAGCGGGAGGATAGCAGGACAGATGGAGGACAGCGGGACAGATGGAGGACAGCGGGACAGATGGAGGACAGCAGGACAGGTGGAGGACAGCAGGACAGGTGGAGGACAGCAGGACAGGTGGAGGACAGCAGGACAGGTGGAGGACAGCAGGACAGGTGGAGGACAGCAGGACAGATGGAGGACAGCAGGACAGATGGAGGACAGCAGGACAGGTGGAGGACAGCAGGACAGGTGGAGGACAGCAGGACAGGTGGAGGACAGCGGGAGGACAGCAGGAGGACAGATGGAGGACAGCAGGACAGATGGAGGACAGCAGGACAGATGGAGGACAGCAGGAATGATGGAGGACAGCAGGACAGATGGAGGACAGCAGGACAGATGGAGGACAGCAGGACAGGTGGAGGACAGCAGGACAGGTGGAGGACAGCAGGACAGGTGGAGGACAGCAGGACAGGTGGAGGACAGCAGGACAGGTGGAGGACAGCGGGAGGACAGCAGGACAGATGGAGGACAGCAGGACAGATGGAGGACAGCAGGACAGGTGGAGGACAGCAGGACAGGTGGAGGACAGCGGGAGGACAGCAGGACAGATGGAGGACAGCAGGACAGGTGGAGGACAGCAGGACAGGTGGAGGACAGCAGGACAGATGGAGGACAGCAGGACAGATTGAGGACAGCTGGACAGGTGGAGGACAGCAGGACAGGTGGAGGACAGCAGGACAGGTGGAGGACAGCGGGAGGACAGCAGGACAGATGGAGGACAGCAGGACAGGTGGAGGACAGCGGGAGGACAGCAGGACAGATGGAGGACAGCAGGACAGGTGGAGGACAGCAGGAGGACAGCAGGACAGATGGAGGACAGCAGGACAGGTGGAGGACAGCAGGACAGGTGGAGGACAGCAGGACAGGTGGAGGACAGCAGGACAGATGGAGGACAGCAGGACAGATGGAGGACAGCAGGACAGATGGAGGACAGCAGGACAGTTGGAGGACAGCAGGACAGTTGGAGGACAGCAGGACAGGTGGAGGACAGGTGGAGGACAGGTGGAGGACAGGTGGAGGACAGCAGGACAGGTGGAGGACAGCAGGACAGGTGGAGGACAGCAGGACAGGTGGAGGACAGCAGGACAGGTGGAGGACAGCAGGACAGGTGGAGGACAGCAGGACAGGTTGAGGACAGCGGGAGGATAGCAGGACAGATGGAGGACAGCGGGAGGATAGCAGGACAGATTGAGGACAGCAGGACAGATGGAGGACAGCAGGACAGATGGAGGACAGCAGGACAGATGGAGGACAGCAGGACAGATGGAGGACAAAAGGACAGGTGGAGGACAGCAGGACAGATGGAGGACAGCAGGACAGGTGGAGGACAGCGGGAGGACAGGTGGAGGACAGATGGAGGACAGCAGGACAGGTGGAGGACAGCAGGACAGGTGGAGGACAGCAGGACAGGTGGAGGACAGTGGGACGACAGCAGGACAGATGGACAGGTGGAGGACAGCAGGACAGGTGGAGGACAGCAGGAGGACAGGTGGAGGACAGCGGGAGGACAGCAGGACAGATGGAGGACAGCAGGACAGGTGGAGGACAGCAGGACAGGTGGAGGACAGCGGGAGGACAGCAGGACAGATGGAGGACAGCAGGACAGGTGGAGGACAGCAGGACAGGTGGAGGACAGCAGGACAGATGGAGGACAGCAGGACAGATGGAGGACAGCAGGACAGATGGAGGACAGCAGGACAGGTGGAGGACAGCAGGACAGGTGGAGGACAGCAGGACAGGTGGAGGACAGCAGGACAGATGGAGGACAGCAGGAGGATAGCAGGACAGATGGAGGACAGCGGGAGGATAGCAGGACAGATGGAGGACAGCGGGACAGATGGAGGACAGCAGGACAGATGGAGGACAGCAGGACAGGTGGAGGACAGCGGGAGGACAGCAGGACAGATGGAGGACAGCAGGACAGGTGGAGGACAGCAGGACAGGTGGAGGACAGCGGGAGGACAGGTGGAGAACAGCGGGAGGACAGCAGGACAGATGGAGGACAGCAGGACAGGTGGAGGACAGCAGGACAGATGGAGGACAGCAGGACAGATGGAGGACAGCAGGACAGGTGGAGGACAGCAGGACAGGTGGAGGACAGCGGGAGGACAGCAGGACAGATGGAGGACAGCAGGACAGGTGGAGGACAGCAGGACAGGTGGAGGACAGCAGGAAAGATGGAGGACAGCAGGACAGATGGAGGACAGCAGGACAGGTGGAGGACAGCGGGAGGACAGCAGGACAGATGGAGGACAGCAGGACAGGTGGAGGACAGCAGGACAGGTGGAGGACAGCAGGACAGGTGGAGGACAGCGGGAGGACAGGTGGAGGACAGCGGGAGGACAGCAGGACAGATGGAGGACAGCAGGACAGGTGGAGGACAGGTGGAGGACAGCAGGACAGATGGAGGACAGCAGGACAAGTGGAGGACAGCGGGAGGACAGCAGGACAGGTGGAGGACAGCAGGACAGGTGGAGGACAGCGGGAGGACAGCAGGACAGGTGGAGGACAGCAGGACAGGTGGAGGACAGCAGGACAGGTGGAGGACAGCGGGAGGACAGCAGGACAGATGGAGGACAGCAGGACAGGTGGAGGACAGCAGGACAGGTGGAGGACAGCAGGACAGATGGAGGACAGCGGGAGGATAGCAGGACAGATGGAGGACAGCGGGAGGACAGCAGGACAGATGGAGGACAGCAGGACAGATGGAGGACAGCAGGACAGATGGAGGACAGCAGGACAGATGGAGGACAGCAGGACAGATGGAGGACAGCAGGACAGGTGGAGGACAGCAGGACAGATGAGGAGGACAGGGAGGATAGCAGGACAGATGGAGGACAGCGGGACAGATGGAGGACAGCGGGACAGATGGAGGAGACAGCAGGACAGATGGAGGACAGCGGACAGATGGAGGACAGCAGGACAGATGGAGGACAGCAGGACAGGTGGAGGACAGCAGGACAGGTGGAGGACAGCGGGAGGACAGCAGGACAGATGGAGGACAGCAGGACAGGTGGAGGACAGCAGGACAGGTGGAGGACAGCGGGAGGACAGGTGGAGAACAGCGGGAGGACAGCAGGACAGATGGAGGACAGCAGGACAGGTGGAGGACAGCAGGACAGATGGAGGACAGCAGGACAGATGGAAGACAGCAGGACAGGTGGAGGACAGCGGGAGGACAGCAGGACAGGTGGAGGACAGCAGGACAGGTGGAGGACAGCGGGAGGACAGCAGGACAGATGGAGGACAGCAGGACAGGTGGAGGACAGCAGGACAGGTGGAGGACAGCAGGACAGGTGGAGGACAGCAGGACAGGTGGAGGACAGCAGGACAGATGGAGGACAGCAGGACAGGTGGAGGACAGCGGAGGACAGAGGAGGAAGAGGGACAGCAGGACAGATGGAGAAGCAGGACAGATGGAGGAGGACAGCAGGACAGGATGGAGGACAGTGGAGGACACCGGGACAGATGGAGGACAGCAGGACAGATGGAGGACAGCAGGATAGATGGAGGACAGCAGGACAGGTGGAGGACGCGGGAGGACAGCAGGACAGATGGAGGACAGCAGGACAGGTGGAGGACAGCAGGACAGGTGGAGGACAGCAGGACAGGTGGAGGACAGCGGGAGGACAGCAGGACAGATGGAGGACAGCAGGACAGGTGGAGGACAGCAGGACGCAGAGATGGAGGACAGCAGGACAGATGGAGGACAGCAGGACAGGTGGAGGACAGCGGGAGGACAGGTGGAGGACAGCGGGAGGACAGCAGGACAGATGGAGGACAGCAGGACAGGTGGAGGACAGCAGGACAGATGGAGGACAGCAGGACAGATGGAGGACAGCAGGACAGGTGGAGGACAGCAGGACAGGTGGAGGACAGCGGGAGGACAGCAGGACAGATGGAGGACAGCAGGACAGATGGCGGACAGCAGGACAGGTGGAGGACAGCAGGACAGGTGGAGGACAGGAGGACAGAGGACAGGATGGAGGACAGGGAGGACAGATGGAGGACAGACAGTGGAGGACAGCAGGACAGGTGGAGGACAGCAGACAGTGGAGGACAGCAGGACAGGTGGAGGACAGCAGGACAGGTGGAGGACAGCAGGACAGTGGAGGACAGCGTGGAGGACAGCAGGACAGGTGGAGGACAGCAGGACAGGACAGGTGGAGGGACAGCAGGACAGGTGGAGGACAGCAGGAGGACAGCAGGACAGGTGGAGGACAGCAGGACAGGTGGAGGACAGCAGGACAGATGGAGGACAGCGGGAGGATAGCAGGACAGATGGAGGACAGCGGGAGGATAGCAGGACAGATGGAGGACAGCGGAGGACAGCAGGACAGATGGAGGACAGCAGGACAGATGGAGGACAGCAGGACAGGTGGAGGACAGCAGGGAGGACAGCAGGACAGATGGAGGACAGCAGGACAGATGGAGGACAGCAGGACAGATGGAGGACAGCAGGACAGATGGAGGACAGCAGGACAGGTGGAGGACAGCGGAGGACAGCAGGACAGATGGAGGACAGCAGGACAGGTGGAGGACAGCAGGACAGATGGAGGACAGGGGAGGACAGCAGGACAGATGGAGGACAGCAGGACAGGTGGAGGACAGCAGGACAGGTGGAGGACAGCAGGACAGGTGGAGGACAGCGGAGACAGCAGGACAGATGGAGGACAGCAGGACAGTGGAGGACAGCAGGAGGACAGGTGGAGGACAGCGGAGGACAGCAGGACAGATGGAGGACAGCAGGACAGATGGAGGACAGCAGGACAGGTGGAGGACAGCAGGACAGGTGGAGGACAGCAGGACAGATGGAGGACAGCAGGACAGGTGGAGGACAGCAGGACAGGTGGAGGACAGCAGGACAGATGGAGGACAGCAGGACAGGATGGAGGACAGCAGGACAGGTGGAGGACAGCAGGACAGATGGAGGACAGCAGGACAGATGGAGGACAGCAGATGGACAGACGTGGAGGACAGCAGGACAGATGGAGGACAGCAGGACAGGTGGAGGACAGCAGGACAGGTGGAGGACAGCGGGGGACAGACGTGGAGGACAGCAGGACAGATGGAGGACAGCAGGACAGGTGGAGGACAGCAGGACAGATGGAGGACAGCAGGACAGATGGAGGACAGCAGGACAGGTGGAGGACAGCAGGACAGGTGGAGGACAGCAGGACAGGTGGAGGACAGCAGGACAGTGGAGGACAGCAGGACAGGTGGAGGACAGCAGGACAGGTGGAGGACAGCAGGACAGATGGAGGACAGGACAGATGGAGGACAGCAGACATGGAGGACAGCAGGACAGGTGGAGGACACAGACATGGAGGACACAGCAGTGGAGGACAGCAGGACAGATGGAGGACAGCAGGACAGGTGGAGGACAGCAGGACAGATGGAGGACAGCAGGAGCACAGGATGGAGGACAGCAGGACAGTGGAGGACAGCAGGACAGGTGGAGGACAGCAGGACAGTGGAGGACAGCAGGACAGGTGGAGGACAGCGGGAGGACAGCAGGACAGATGGAGGACAGCAGGACAGGATGGAGGACAGCAGGACAGTGGAGGACAGCAGGACAGATGGAGGACAGCAGGACAGATGGAGGGACAGGACAGGAGTGGAGGACAGCAGGACAGGTGGAGGACAGCAGGACAGGTGGAGGACAGCAGGACAGGGGAGGACAGCAGGACAGTGGAGGACAGCAGGACAGATGGAGGACAGCAGGACAGATGGAGGACAGCAGGACAGATGGAGGACAGCAGGACAGGTGGAGGACAGCAGGACAGGGGAGGACAGGTGGAGGACAGCAGGACAGGTGGAGGACAGCAGGACAGTGGAGGACAGTGGAGGACAGCAGGACAGGTGGAGGACAGCAGGACAGGTGGAGGACAGCAGGACAGATGGAGGACAGCAGGACAGGTGGAGGACAGCAGGACAGGTGGAGGACAGCAGGACAGGTGGAGGACAGCAGGACAGGTGGAGGACAGCAGGACAGGTGGAGGACAGCAGGACAGGTGGAGGACAGCAGGACAGGTGGAGGACAGCAGGACAGGTGGAGGACAGCAGGACAGGTGGAGGACAGCAGGACAGGTGGAGGACAGCGGAGGACAGAGACAGGTGGAGGACAGCAGGACAGATGGAGGACAGCAGGACAGGTGGAGGACAGCAGGACAGATGGAGGACGGAGATAGCAGGACAGATGGAGGACAGCGGAGATGAGGACAGCAGGACAGATGGAGGACAGCAGGACAGGTGGAGGACAGCAGGACAGATGGAGGACAGCAGGACAGGTGGAGGACGCAGACAGGAGGACAGCAGGACAGTGGAGGACAGCAGGACAGGTGGAGGACAGCAGGACAGGTGGAGGACAGCAGGACAGGTGGAGGACAGCAGGACAGGACAGCGGGAGGAAGCAGGACAGATTGAGGACAGCGGGAGGACAGCAGGACAGATGGAGGACAGCAGGACAGATGGAGGACAGCAGGACAGATGGAGGACAGCAGGACAGGTGGAGGACAGCAGGAGGATAGCAGGACAGATGGAGGACAGCAGGACAGGTGGAGGGACAGCAGGACAGGTGGAGGGCAGCAGGACAGATGGAGGACAGCAGGACAGGTGGAGGACAGCAGGACAGATGGAGGACAGCAGGACAGATGGAGGACAGCAGGACAGATGGAGGACAGCAGGACAGGTGGAGGACAGCAGGACAGATGGAGGACAGCGGGAGGACAGCAGGACAGATGGAGGACAGCAGGACAGGTGGAGGACAGCAGGACAGATGGAGGACAGCGGGAGGACAGCAGGACAGATGGAGGACAGCGGGAGGACAGCAGGACAGATGGAGGACAGCAGGACAGGTGGAGGACAGCAGGACAGGTGGAGGAGGACAGCAGGACAGGTGGAGGACAGGAGGACAGGTGGAGGACAGCAGGACAGGTGGAGGACAGCAGGACAGGTGGAGGACAGCAGGACAGGTGGAGGACAGCAGGACAGGTGGAGGACAGCAGGACAGATGGAGGACAGCAGGACAGGTGGAGGACAGCAGGACAGGTGGAGGACAGCAGGACAGGTGGAGGACAGGTGGAAGGATAGCAGGACAGGTGGAGGACAGCGGGAGGACAGCAGGACAGATTGAGGACAGCAGGACAGATGGAGGACAGCAGGACAGATGGAGGACAGCAGGACAGATGGAGGACAGCAGGACAGATGGAGGACAGCAGGAGGACAGCAGGACAGATGGAGGACAGCAGGACAGGTGGAGGACAGCAGGAGGATAGCAGGACAGATGGAGGACAGCAGGACAGGTGGAGGACAGCAGGAGGATAGCAGGACAGATGGAGGACAGCAGGACAGGTGGAGGACAGCAGGAGGATAGCAGGACAGATGGAGGACAGCAGGACAGGTGGAGGACAGCAGGAGGACAGCAGGACAGATGGAGGACAGCAGGACAGGTGGAGGACAGCAGGACAGGTGGAGGACAGGAGGACAGCGGGAGGACAGCAGGAGGACAGCAGCAGGTACAATCATAACTGTATATGGACACTGTACAGACCATCTCCACTGGTCTGGTACAAAAGCAGCGCAGATTAACAAAATCATTTTACCAAACTTAAGTTTTATAGGAATGCAGTGAATAATTGGTGCTCTCAGCAATGACAAAAGATTTACTGTAATGGCCCCCTCCATTGTGTTAAAGTACTTTTCACAGAACAAATTGAAAGTTCTTCAAGGGAAAAAATGTCAACAGCAATAATCTGTCAACAATGTTTCTCAGTTCGCTTGGTTTTTGAATCAAATGTAATTTGATTATGTGCCGATGGGCAAATCTAGCACATTTACTTGGGCTGATTTGCTCATGATGCGAGTATGGGCTGTTGTGCCTTTACTTCCACAAACTCGCTTGATGAATCTCAAAAGACACATACAAAATAAGGTTGTCACATGATCCAACACTATCTAGAACATATATTTCACTATAGGTTTATTGACAGAGATTTACAATATGATACAGATTATATGTGAAAGCAGTTTCAGTTTTAGGTTACATTCATTGATGGAAGAGTTTTGAATATTTTAATAACATAAAAATGTATTGTATATACATAGCTAACTAAATTTCTTGCTTTCAATATTGTCCTACCAATTTCAAGCAGTGCTACAAGTTTCAAAATCCCATCTTAAATTGAACTTAAAAGGCTGTCATAAACCCTCAAAATCATAAATATATGTAGTAAAATCTGTCAGTGCTTTTCACATATTCATCAGAGCTCAGCAGGTTGTTACGCATTCAACAACCTTGTCAAAAAAACAAGAGCTGTGCAAAGAGAAGTGACCTGGATACATTACAAATTAACATCTTTGATTTAGACCAGTACACCCAAAGTGGCGCCTGTGGTCCTCATTGCATTTTCAGTGGCCCCCAAAGTGGTATTCAAGAAATTAAATAAAAATAGTGGCAATTATGACATTATTAATATGGGTTACAGTGGCTCGTTCGTCAATCAAATATTCCTTAAGAATCAGCCTCAAAACATGGTTAAACTTAGTATAATACTCGCAAATTTTGTCCTGAGGGTGTTTAGCTTTGGTCCCGCACCAGGTCCAACTATGTCAAGGATTTTTACGCTCGGGTCTGGGGGAAGGTATACTCAGCTTTGGAACACTGGCATGCTTCGAATTCCAATGTTTTCGGTCCATTAATCGCAATACTTTGAAATTGTTAAAATCAGCACTCAATAAAAACGGTTGTTCACTGCTATGGAGAGTGATATGGATGAAGTCCTGTGTGGAAGGGAATTTGTCAGAGAATTTGTCTGTTGAAGAATTAACTCATATCAGACATCTTGTTTGTAGACCATATGATTCAAAACTTTCCACTATGAAAATAAAGGATTTTTTGGTTTAAAAGAAAAAGTAAATATTTAGTGAATTGTCAAAAACGAATTATTGGGGCTGGGACTCAAAAAAAATCTAATTAGAGGCTTTGTAAATAATTAATCCCATTTTAATCGCATTTAAATATTTGATCTGAAAATGGTGAGAAGTAACACATATTACGCATGCACGGGCAGGAGCCAGCTGCAGAGTTGCAGAGCCCCCTCCTCCTTCCTACTTTTCTTATTTTTTAGCATACTTATTTTTATTTCTTCTGTAACTGCTGTTATATTACAGCTGGGTGAAGCTAGTGCCCACTTAGGAAGTGAGACACACCGTGGAAAACCACCGTTGTCGTCATCATAAACTTGGATTATACCTGTGAACGGAGATGTGCCCACGCGCTCCCATTGTTTACATCCGGGCCCAGCTGCTGGCGTTGCGGAGAGCGGAGGTCCCTCCCGGAGACAAACACACTATTCCTGCGGAGATTCTACGGAAAACACCCAGAGGTGCAGGATGGAAGGTGCGAGGCTCGCGGTGGTAAAAAAAAAAATATACGATTAAAATGCGTCATTTTGTTTACGCGCTAATTTTTGTGTAATTAATTCATATTAATTCACGCATTAAAGTCCCGGTCCTACTTATTATGGAACACATCATAGTTTTACCCCTGATATAGACGTATCTGGCTGGTTGACGCAATACCGAGCCGCCACAAATGAAGCCTACATTATTCCAAATGTGAATAAAGACTACATGGTCACTACTTGATTATGAATCATATGTATCATTAATCTAACACAATCTGAACACCCCCAGTCCCCTACATAAATCTGAGGTAGATCACTCACAAGTTTCTAGAAAATCTTGGTTTGATTCAGAGTGAGAGCCCAACTCGATTGTCTTCACAAAAATCCCAACAAAATCCTCATTAAAAATAAAACAGAACTGACTATGGTAGACTAGAGGCTCGTTAGTGTGTTGCATGTCGATCTGACCTGAAACCTTCTACAGCTCATGCACAGCTCGGAATTTCCACAATTGCCTTTTCTTTTGGCTTATGTGACACTGTTCATTTTCACAAAAACGTTGCATTTGCGGTCTATAAATACCGGCTCGAACTTATATTTAAAGTAAGGATCTATTCATATTTATGTCTTACAACGCTGATGTGATCATTTTGTAAATATCAAAAATCAGTTATATATCCTAGATGCTACTGCATCTAGGATATGAATAGATGTGGGCTTAGCTATTGAGTATCTGTAAACGAAAAATACTGAAAACAAAAATAGAATGCACAGTGCGCGGCACGGTGGCTGAGTGGATAGCACTCTCGCCTCTCAGCAAGAAGGTTCTGGGTTCAAATCCCGGTCGGACCAGGGCCTTTCTGAGTGGAGTTTGCATGTTCTCCCCGTGTCTGCGTAGGTTTCCCCTACCACTAAAAATATGTACAATAGGTCTGGCATGTGCCTCCTGTACTGGCACCCCCTATCCCAAAAATCACAATTGTAAACCGCTTTGAGACTCCGATGTGCAGTGAAAAGGCGGTATATAAATAAAGATTACTATTACAGTGTCATATTTCTCGTGCACACAAAGCTCAGCTGCAGAGTTTATTCCTATAGACGCTTCATACTGCTCTATATAGGTGCCATTGTCTGCCCTGGTCTTGTGTTTCCCTGTGCTGCCTTCTCCTGCATTTGTTTTTGAGGCTCTGACAGATCGCCACTGACTGTATGTCATAGTAAACCCATAAATATTACAACGCTGAGGAGAAGCAACGCAAATGAAAAAACACTAGTTTAAAGTTAAAAGTATTCTCCAGCGATGACACAATGTGCACAATGATATTAGTTGATACAGTCCATGTGCCCAAAGATCAGGGTTTGCTTTTGGTTTTAGAATTCATGTTCATTTGAACTACAGGACGTGGATTTTGGTCTACAAACTGACATTACAAATCGATAATGTGACAAAAAAATTCTGCACATTATATTTGATTGGAAAATTCAAATATTTCAAAAAGGTCAAAAAATGTCTGACTTCTACCAAACTTTAACAGAATTGTTTTGATGAAAAAAAAGGATACTCATTTTCTGTGATTTTTGTATGTACATCTTGCCTCGCCAAAGTTATAAATCAGTCTGTCTCATCACATTGCTCAAGCATACCCATACTTTTTCACAACTGTACCAAAAAATAAATAATCTATGTAGATATGAATTACTAATGTTAACAGATTGAGCAGCTTTGAGCAGCTGATGTTGTATGTGCTATACAAATAAAATTGACATTTGATTATAAACAAGCTCCAGAAATTGTACCAAATTGAAGAATATGCTATAATCCAAGTTTAACAATATAATAACAAGAGTTCCTTTTAAATTACTCAATAGCGCCCCCTTAGATACTTATGGAAGCCCGTTTCCGCCATGTAAAAAAAAAAAAAGCATACAGAAAGTCAAAATTTTGAGTTTAAAACTCAAAATTACGACTTTTAAAAGTCAAAATCTCGACTTTAAAAGTCAAAATTACGAGTTTTCAACTGCGCATGTGCAGTTGAAAACTCGTATGTGTTGTTGTCTGGAACGGTCTCTGGACGTCCTTCACCTGCAGATTATGTGAAGATATTGCTGACAGCGACCACTGCATCCTTGAAGTAGCCAGAAATAATGTTTGATTGATTCTGTAAAACTTTCCTGTTTAAGCCCCAGACCGCGGTCGTAGGACGCAGGGAGGAGCTGTCTTTTTATTTATTTATGTTAAATTCAATTTACATATATACAACATTTAAATCAAACGATTTCTTATTTCAACATAGTAACAAATAATGTGAGCAATACGTTTTTATAATAAATCAAAGGAAAATGAGCCATCGAGACATTCCAATCCAATCTGCTATACCCCACTCTGACCAGACGATGGCGCTGAGAGGGGTCCACACGGAGCGAGTATTTCCACGGCTGAAATGATGCGCTTTCTACGTGTTGAGTACGGGGTTTTATTCATGCATCTATAATGGGTTTATCTATTTCTAACCCTTTTCAAAGATCCTCACTGTTATCTGCGGAGTTATTTCTCCGGTTTGTTGCTAAAAGAGTTGTGGGCTTTATTTTGTCACAATAAAATAATCAGACAAGGTACTTATTCCCTGTATGTCTCTGTGTTCTTGCTCATACGCCAACAACTTTACCACACGCTCCATCAGCTCACCCCCGCGTGCACGCAAACACGTCACATACTCTTCAATGCACTGATCGCAATTCCAAAAGGGTAATAATGTCAGTGCCCGTGTCTGTGGTTCTCCTGCCTCTGTCTGTGGTTCTCCTGCCTCTGTCTGTGGTTCTCCTGCCTCTGTCTGTGGTTCTCCTGCCTCTGTCTGTGGTTCTCCTGCCTCTGTCTGTGGTTCACCTGCCTCTGTCTGTGGTTCTCCTGCCTCTGTCTGTGGTTTACCTGCCTCTGTCTGTGGTTCTCCTGCCTCTTTCTGCGGACCTCCCTCACTATCCAGTAATCGCGAACGGTCTCTGTCAGTCACAATAATATTCACTGCATTTCAATGACTTTGAACAGCTGCATGCGTTTTATTATTAATCTTCCACAGTCCGTTTAGGATAAACTAAATAGAGGCTTCTGAAGCGGATTCTAATCATAAACGGAGAGACCGTTTCCATTTTAACGCGATTACTACCACAACATTATTGCTGCTACTTCATGGATGTGGTCACTGTCTGTAGGAAATATCTTCACATAATCTGCAGGTAGAGGATGACCCATGGTCATGGATCTATAACAGGGATGACCAGAGACCGTTCCAGACAACAACACATACGAGTTTTCAACTGCACATGCGCAGTTGAAAACTCGTAATTTTGACTTTCTGTAGGCTTTTTTTTTTTTTTACATGGCGGAAACGGGCTTCCATAGATACTAGAATCAACCACAAGATTTACTTTATCCCCGTGATTCAAAACCCAGAACAAGGATCGTTCCCGCCGTTCCCTGTGGTCATGAAGGAGCGCGAGGAAATAAAAACAGCATTTTTAATTCATTAATGAAAGATTGCAAAAGTTCCACCTCGTTATCTAGATTCTACAGGATCTGCTTAAGAAGACTGGCACCCAAGACGAGCTGCGCACAATTATTGACAGTGAGTTAGACCAATTGCCTTTGTTCAGTTTAGTTTATTTTGAAACATGTGTGCATACTTCCTACATCGTTCACATATTTTTTGTATAGATACTTTAAGGATCAAAATAGACAAACTCCTTATCCAAGAATGTAAACAAGATTTTTACATTCAACAAATAATGTTTAACTTTATTGGTTAATGAAGTAACCCAAAAATGACTTATCAATAGCTGCAGCCCTTAATTCAGTGTTACCTGTTATTTTTCCAATCCATTATCCATGTTTTCTGTTCTTCCATGCCCTCTTGGCCACAACAACATTAGTAATAATACTCACCTACGCATGCATATTTTTTCTGCCACCTCCAATGTAATGCAAGTGGCTCTGACAACCATAATCATTATCCATGTAATTTGCACATGCAGCAGTGTCCTACATTTTTCTTCACATATACACCAGTAACGCTATAGCAACCTACATTTCCTAAGGGGTGAATAAAAAAGTGATTTCAATTATCTCCCACATTACCATATGTTGAGCAATAATTTGGCAAATATGGTAGCAGTATAAATTGCACTTTTACAACAGTAGATACAGGGGCTGGTGCTGTGTGTACTGGGTGCAGCTCTGACTGCCACCCCCCTGACCCAGAAATGGATAAAGGGGAAGAAAATGGATGGATGGATGGACAACAGTAGATAATGAGCGAGATTTATTTTCATAGTAATTTTAATCCCGCTACATGTCAGATTGGCAGGTACCTTGGATCGCGACAGTTTATCACCTGAGAGTGTCACTCCGTATTGACATAATAGTCAAAACTTATCACGGTCCCCAACAGCATTAATGTCTGATAATGCCATTAGCTACAATGCTTTACCAATTGCCGGTTGTTTTGTTCTGGTCCTTGATAAATGTGAAATGTTGGCGCCAAGGTAATCCTCCCTGTCAGATTCATTTCATTTGGATGTAATTCACACAGGTAAACAAGCTGATTCATGGCCATTCCAGGTCTGCTTAAAAGGATCCCACAATCAAACACGATGTTTACAGGCCATTCAGCATTACAGAGGTCAAAACAGAAAATTACAAATTGAACACACAATTTGCATGTAAAACGTTATGTCTCATTACTTTGGCAAAGAACCAAGAATGACTTTTGCAAGGCTTGGTTCTTTCCTTTAATTATATTAAGTTACTGCAATGAAAATAAAACAAATTCTCATTGACTGAAAGAACACCTTGTTGTTAAATGTTACATAATTCAAAGTAATACCAAGTGATGTAGTTGGTTATCCATCTATGTGTGTATAATTGTTGGAATCAAGTCTTTTTCAAAACCACATAATATCCCCTTGGTACGTCCCAGCGCACTCAAAGAAAAATTATATTCTTAAATATTCTGTGTTAAAAAGAAACAAATGTCTCTGGGGCTAAGGCAGCGTGCACATTTCTCCAAGATTCTCAAAGGGAGGATATTCATAACTAATGACCAGATTAAACCGCGCGTACTAGTGTCCAATGATCCTTGTAATTGTTTTATAATTCTCAAAACATTAAGTTATAATGAAGTTATATTTCAGTCTTCAGTCTTGAAAGAGATGCAAATAAACTATTTTTGGTAAAAAAAAACCAAATAGCTTTAGTGTCAGTCATAAAACCTATTCAGAAAAAGTATAAAAATAGCAATAGCTACAAAGTGCTTTAGCCGTAATTTGATCATTTACAACATGTTGTTATTCAATGATATGCAATTGAATATTGCACAAATATCTGTTTATGCCTTAGCTTTTTAACACATATTTACAAATGTAGGAGGGGGGGACTGACCGAGGTGTACTGCAGAGGAAGCGGGGGCAGAGAGGGGATGGATGTGGACAAACGGGTAACAAACAGGTGCTCTATCGCTTCTATAGTCTGTAGTTTGATAAAGACCTTCCTCCAGAAGAGCGTTGTCCTGTTGAAAAATCCACTCATTTCCACACAGACAGGGGCTCTCCGTTTTAGAAGACACCCCCCTGCAACATGGCCATTTAAAACGGCTCCAGTCAACAATTTTTAAGTTGATTTATTTAAGTCACTTTTTGGCTCGACAACCCTTCATACTCAACAAGAGAAACACTTTTGGCTTGACTGTAAACACGTTTGTGCAGATTTTGGCTTTAAAGACTATGGCCTTAAAAGGTTTTGATTAAGCAATGAGCCAATTAACCCCTAATGCCCTTGTATTTTCAATTAATTGTTTACTGAATTTGATTTTGAACAGGGACAATGTAAATTGTTTGAGTTATTCCAACTGTACAAAAAGGTTAAATCAAGAGACACGGATGAGCAATAATGAAAAAGAAAATTATCATTTGGGAAAATATCAGATATCGCCCAGTGGAGCATTTAGGTTCAACAAAACCAAAACAATGAAACAAAGGCATGCGTATCACAGAAACTCCTCTAAACAAGATTTAGTTGTATTTATTTTCAGACAACAAGCTCCAGGTTTTACCTTCACAGTCTGGTCTAACGAGGCAGTTGCCACTCGGGCCTGAGGTCCCATGAGTCCGCAGTGCAGGTCTGTGATTGGCAGTGAGTGACGAGAGAGCACATGTCGGGGCTCGGGCACATGAGCCGAATCCAACTGAATCACACTGAAAAACACAACATATTTAGAAATGACACATGGTCTACTTTCTCCGATAACTTGTTGACTGTGAAGAAACTGCTTAAGGGCATAGCACCAATAGTCTAATTAAAACTGCTTTAAGAGATTTTTTTCTTTCACTTTCATTTCTCTCTTTGTGGACATTTAAGAGGCGGAAGATGAAGAAATATAGCTACGCACAAAGATGAGACAACTTGGAGCTGCAAACATGATTTATTAAAGTAAACTCGAGACAGTGACTGTGGGTTTGATCACACTGGATTGAACTGGTTCCTTTACATTTCGTTTGAGCTGAATGTGGAAAATCCCAGTCATATGAACCTCATGCAAACAGATTCAAACGGCATGTTGCAGCAGAAGCATGTTTTATTACTGACTCCAGTTTTCAGACACACGTCCATCTAACAAATCGAGAGCGCGTTTAACATTCCGCTCAGGTTTCCCACAATCCTCAGCGCCTTTTCCTGACGTCATCACATCAGAGCCCACACGACTCTTGAGAATGTGAGTGCTTTTATATCTCTCTGCAATGGCTGGGATCTTGCTCAGGCCCTGTGTGTAATTCTTTTTTAACTTAAGAGAACTAAAGCCCCGTCAAAACTGAGCCACGACTTTATTCTTTGAGCGGTCAAAGGTCACGGAGTAACTTTAAGCAACTGGCTTTGGATGCAGCTGTGAATGACCTGGTTTCTTTCTGCGTTTTGTCAGGGAGAGGAGGCAGATCAGCGCTTGGTGCCAGGTGCAGCTCAGAAAGAGCCGGTTTCAGCCTGGGGGGCTTTTCCCTTTCTGGCTCTTCAACGACTGCCAGCCAGCCGCCTGCTTTTTATGCTTTTATGACAGAAGACTGGTCCTGATGCGTCGTTATGACTCAACGTGGAAACAAACAAATGAAGACATACAGCACTGGCTGAATAATAATCAACAGGCTCTTTCAAGTTATCATGAGCTACAAAAACAGAATCCTCCAGCTATGAGACAAATATCCCTAATTGACACGGCGCACAGTTGTCCCATGAGATTTTCGGGAGTCATAGTCCTCAAATTGGATAAGAATGCATGCTGCAATGAGTATGCAGCAGGTATGCAGCAGGTCTGACTGCTGAAATGAGAATGAATGTGTAAGTACATTGCAGCTGAGCATTCATAATTATGTTTAATTTTATTAAAAGGCAAAAATTGAATCAGCTTTGGCGTTACTTCCTACAGGCCCAGCACTAGTATGTATTTAGTAACAAAAGGATTCCGATTTAATTCTGCAGTGAAGGACTACAGCCCGTTCCTTAGACCTACCGCAGGGCCTTCATCCCCACTGCTGTCAGACTGTACAATAAGTCACTAAGTCACTAATTTCTTATTGTATAGAATTATTTCCTGCACAGACTATATTTTTAACCTTAACATGTTTCACACTTCTGTCTTTTGTACAATCTGAGTGATTCTATCCAATGTACATTTCTCCATTGTGAGATGAATAAAGTTCATCTTATCTTATGACCTGGTGTCTGCAGTCAGCCGAGTGACCCTAAGTACAGTGTTTTTTTTTTTTCATGAAAAGGTAAGAGCCTAGCCTGGTTGTACCACACCATAGTACAAATTACATTTCATTCTAATGGAGGTGCTCCATTGAGCTCCGTTTACAGATAGGAGGGGATAACTCCTTTTGCAGATTGAAACGATTGGATCCGAGTTTACCGTGACGTATGTAGTGCGCCCTAGTGATTTGTTAGCATTTAGCCTAGCCATCTCCTTTTCCGCTAATGGAGCCTGTGGGGAGTAGCGCCACAATTTTTTTCAGCGATTACATTTTCCAAACATTACCCTTGCTCCGGCTTCAATTTCTTGATAGAACCAGACTGGAATTCTTTACTATCGCATTTTTCGCCATTTCCAAACTACAACCTGCCCATTTGACGCACACTCTTGACGTCACCCACAACTAACTACAACACTCTCCTTCCGCGCTCGCTGGTAGGTCGGTCGAAATTCAAACGATTGTAATCGCTAACCCAGGGACCAGACCCAGACGTTATATGCAGTGAAATGATGATTGATGATTGATGGATGGCTAAGGCCAGGCTAGTAAGAGCCTAAATAAAGTAATTTAATAAAATGTGGCAAAGGCACAGATGTGTTTTACGGTGCGAAATAAGTTTGTACCTGACATGTCCTCACCAGTATCTGAAAAGCCGAGGCCAATCTGACAGTCAGCGAGATAAGCGAGATAAGCGAGCCACTCACGGATACGAGTGCAGTGGCCATAAGAAATATGCGTTCCTATAGTGGGAGCCTAAGTAGTTTTCAATGTCAACTAATGTCTATTTGATATTAGCTTGGAGTATCGTAAAAATACCCTTTCAGTTCACTTAGGAGTTTATTACTGAAGCAATATATAATCCAGGTCTCCTCCGAAATACCTTTAAATGATCAATTTATGAATGGTCAAGTCAATTACTTTTCAAATTGTGGAGAGAGAACATTGTCAAAGTAAGCATAGGACTTCTCCAGCTTCTCTCTGAAGATCCTCTCGAGCTACACTGCCATTTTCAGGTCTTTCTAGAGATGTTCAAGTGGGTCAAGTTTGTGCTCTGACTAGGCTTCTCAAAGACATTCACGTACTTGTTCCAAAGCTAGTCCTTAGTTATCCTGGCAGTGTGCTTTGGTTTTGCTTTGTTGTTCGGATTTGTTTTGTCCTTTAGAGTAGGGGTTATGTTTTCGGCCCAGTGCCTGAAAACAACCCATGAGCCCCCCATGTTAATTTATTTTGAGTTTTTATAGAGCCATTTGATCCAATTTTACTTAAAATTATAGATAAAATTACACACAAGAATGTTTTTCTTGCTAGCATCAGTTATATTGTCCTCACTTTGAGAACCACTGCTTTTGAGAGCCATTATCTTTATTTCACCATCTAATCCATGTCAGAAACTCAAAAGATGTTATTTCAAAATAAAAGAATTACCAAAATTGAAACCAACAGCCAGAAATATTCCAATAATGCTAAAAGTGGTTATTTTGGCAACGTCTATAGACTAATCCATCACACCTCTTGTAATACACTCCCCTCATGGTGGAATATGTACCGAAGAACTTTATCAACTGTCAACAATAAAAAGCCGGTGGATTTATCAGTTGGATTTGGAAGGAGACTGGCTGCCAAAACATAACCAAATCCTCAGCAATTCGAAAATGGCCCAAAAACATTTTGCAATCAATCATACATTTTGAATTTCCATGGGCTGAACAACCCCTACGTGTGTTTGTGCACTGATAAAGAATTTCTCTTTATAATCCTGCTCAAGATATTCAGAAAGAAATAGTGTACAGGCTGTTTCATAAGATAGGATGAAGCCACACTTGAGCTTTAGTATTGCTGGTAAGAGACTAACATATCTAACAAGCCTTTAAACCACTGTACAAAAGCTCCCTCTAGTGGTAGCTGAAGAGATGAGAAAACAAGAGCCTTAAAAAAATTATTCCATCATAGCACAACACATAGAACTTAAAGTCATTGTCTGCTGTTTGTCAGAGAGAGAGAGAGAGAGGTACTTTATTTGAAAAACACGACGCAAGCTCCCTCCCCCTTCCTTTCTGATTGGTCTACGTTTCCGTAACACTTTTAAATGTTTATCAGAGAACACATTATACATATACATTATTATTACACATGCACAGAGGTTTTCAGAATTATTTGTTAACGTTTTCATGAAAAAAAGTATGTTTTAATGCACAGAAAAGCGATCGCGGCAAACCCGGAAGAAGCTATTATCATTAATTGCACATTACACATTATAGGACACATCTGCAGAGGATCTGATTATGGATATAGGTTCAGTATATAAATGATTATGGATATAGGTTCAGTATATAAATGATTATGGATATAGGTTCAGTATTAGGGATGCACCGATCCGATACTGGTATCGATATCGGCGCCGATACCAGAAAAAATACTGGATCGGATATCTGCGTAGAGAGAGGCGCCGTGCTGCCAATCGATTTTCTTGTCTTTTTTTTTTATTATTATTATTTTTTTTTTATATATACCAGGTACCGCACAATGTCTTAAAATACATTGTGCATAATGTACATATACGTATAAAATGAATTAATTAAAAGTAATTTATCAGATCTGACGTACACGTCACTTCCTCGTGGCGCTCTACAACAACAACAACACAGCATGGAGCGCAGGAAAGAATCAGCGTTGTTCACGTAGCGGTAAACTAGCGAAATACAACACGACTAAGCACCACGAGAAACAGCATGGGGAGTTATTGCATCGAAAGGAGATTACGTGAAAACAATGAGACACAGATGACACTGACGCAGCGTCACAAAAAGCTTTTCAGCAACAACCCGAAAGTGTTGGAGTTCATCAGTTTGGGCTCGCAGTCCCATAGACCATTTGGAACCCAGGTACATGCCGTCGCCAAATACATATCTGAAATCCAGTTAAAGCTACGGTACTTTTATTTATTTACATTTTCATGCAGCGTGTTTTGTTTGTTGTAAGTGTTTTTTTATTCAAACACAGTTAATATAAGTACATTTATATTCAATAAATGTATAAGGTATAATACAGAGTTGGAATGTTTAATGTGAACATTGAGCAGCTCTTTATAGTTGCATTATTGCACATTTATGTTGAATCCATTTTTATCTGGAAAGTTTAGCGCTTTAGTTCATCCAATGCTTTTGCAGTTACTTGAACAAAGAGTTCAATTATTAAATACATTTTAGCGTGATCATTTCCGGTATCGGTCAATATCGGTATCGGCAGATACCCATAGCTCTGGTATCGGTAGTAAAAAAGCTGGATCGGTGCATCTCTATTCAGTATATACATAAGTAACTCAGCGCGGATGTTCAGAATTCTTTGTTCAGTTTTCATGTAGTTCCAGAGCCTATTGGAGGCTTGATTCGGAGGCTCCGCAAAAAACAACTGAGCATGCGCGCTGATGTTCGCACTTGGCATGACTCGATTGGTAAACGTGGACGACATCGTGGATTCTGAGCTATAGCTAAGTGAAGGGAAGGCGGGACTTAACTGTAAAATTAGAATAAAATTACTTATTTTATATTAACATTTAAGGCCAGGAGGTCAATTTACTACAATTCTTAAAATGTGTAATTAATTTAGAGTTACATACTATCACTTTAATAGTCTATATCTAGTGAAAGCTATGTTCGAGATATTGCAGATCATGTAATGAATAGACTCACCTAGACAAACTCCACACCAGGGCCAGGTTATCTCTACCCCCAGTGACAAAGTGACTGCTGTCATCTGTAAACTTCACACATGTGACATCCTGGTAGTGCCGACTTAACACGGACAACAGCTTCCCAGTTGAAACCTGACGAATAAAAAAATATGCAACTCAACATGCACATTTTGATATTTCTACCACCGTGTCATGTGATGTCTGGTGAGCCATGGGAATAAAAGGTATAAAAACTATAAACATTTTACAAAAACTAATACTAATGAAATGACTACTAATGAACTTAAATCCAGATATACATTTAGTGGAGGTGCAGATTCAAGAAGAAAGAGTGACACATACACTGTCAAGTCAATGCGCCATAACAGGGACTATGTAACCATCCATGGGCGGAAGTTCAAAAATATGTGACTAAAACTGTTGCAGGGCTCTGTTCATGCAAACAATAATATATTTCAGAATAAAACAGCATGTTGTGGTCTGATTTTTTCACAAAATATTGTATTAAATCTGTTGGGACAAACCAACATTGTTTGTGGGACAAAAACAAACAAACATCAAAACTGGTTGATGAACATTGATCCAAATTATCTCAAAGCCACACTCACCTCCCACAGGTAAATTGCCTCTGCAACACCTGTCGCAAGGAAAAGCCCATTCGGTGAAGTTGTCAGACAGGTCACTACACCGGGACAAATGATCTTCTGCTGCAGCTGATCCTGGAATAAAATAAGTAAACAATAGATCCATGAGCGCAATGTTGTTGGCTTGAGCACATTCTACTCCAGGTCTCCAACCTGTGGCCCAGGAGCTACTAGTTGCTCGCCACATCCTTCCAACTAGCTCCCAAAAGTATTTACAATTTACATGATCATAGAGACTTTTCCAAAATATACGAGTCACATTCCCATCACTAGCGTAAATGAATACTGACTTTGTTATGAATGATAAATAATGTTGATAGTGACAGTACCGCTTTCTAAGGCTGGATCTCAATACTATACGACTCATTTCCCCCGGACGCTTTAAGGAGTAGCTCTTTGTCATTTTAGTCCAGTGAAAGTAGCTCTCCAGATGAGAAAGGATGGAAACCTCTGAAGTAGACCATAAACTCAGACAAAGATGTAGACCATAGAAAACATGGGTCTCTAACCTTTTCCCTTGGAGAGCTACTTTTTTTAGAAGCTTGACAAAAGCGACAATGGATTAAGTTGTTTTCTTATCTTGATCTCTTAAGCAAAAGAAAAACAAACTAGTCCTATTTCCAGCACAGATAGAACACGTTACACATGTGCTATATTTGTAATTATTGCTTTAAGACCGTCCAAATGTTTGGGCAATGTATAACTTTATTTATTTTTTGCTGTGTAGTGTGATGCCCATAAAACAATCTATCATAGTCATTTTTATATTGACTATTGAATCATCCTTTGGAGACTTTGAAGAGGCTGGCGAGCTACTGGTAGCTCTCGAGATACAGGTTGGAGAGACCGCTGATGTAGCCGGTCCCAGAGCATCTGTGGTGACTGCAGCAGTACCTTCCTCTGGATCTCCCACACATTGATGTAGTTCTTCCCGAGCTGCGCGGACAGGAGGTATTCCCCGTTTAGAAGCGTGAGGGTCCGGGCAGAGCTGTTCCCTCCGCGGTACGACAGGAGGCTGGAGTCGCTGTGCAGGTCGAACACGGTGCAGTTCCACAGCTGTGAGCCGGAGTCACTGCTCAGCACCACCTCCAGAGGGGCCGCCATGTTGGCTCTACAGCTGCACGCGCATGGGCACGTGGTTCAGGCGCGCGGCCTGCTGCCTCACTTCCGGCGCGTGATGGGTGATGTACTGTTATTATTATAGATCCATGGTGATGTAGTGTAAATAGGTTATTTACTTACTAAACGAATGTTTATTCATTTTACGGGGAGGAATATATTAACTTAAACCGTCAAGGATTACGACTCAAAGTTCAAACCGGATGTAAGACATGCCACATTACAATGATCACTCTGTTGCAGTCAGGACCACCCGCTGTGAATACATATTTGAATGATTATTGTTATCAATTATGTATTGGTTCCTTTCTTGTTTTGTATAAACATTTGATATACCGCCTGCATGAAATATTCTATACTAACTAAAACCTTTTACAGTTGTTAAAGTTTTCATTGATAGGTCTATAATATCTGCCTCAAATAGAGGGAAATGAAAATGCTTCAAATACAGAATGAAGAATTGGCTCTAGTGTTAGAATATTTATTAAAACAACATTGGCTAAATGCACTGCATATTATTCATTCATAGTTTCAATGAAAATGTGTGCGGCTTCTACTTCTGCCTCAGTACAGACAGAGGCAGCTGCAGTATTAACAAAGGAAATTCCATATCATCCAACACAAACACTTCCTCTGCCCTGCTTCAGACTCTGCCCACAGGGAGGGAAAAATTACTGCCTCCACCAACAGAATCTACAGCCCTGGACAGACGGAGTGCTGAGCAGCCAGTCAGAGGCCGCTGTGGGCGTCCTCAAGAACAACCAAGAGGTTCAAAACCTGGAGAACTAGGGAGAGAGACTTTAAACCAACCACAGAAATGGACGAATGACGAATGAAGAATGTGAGGACTAATCCAGGTGAGACAAAACATCATTGCTGCATTCACAATATATAGTTTACATCCATAGACAAGCTCGACTCACGGCAGCCAGCTCACTTCATTCAGATGATTGACAGTTTGTAGGACTGATTGTAAACGTAATTCAAATCTAAAATCCTTCATTTCTTTTCTTACATGATCACAAAAAGGTATTTACCTTTTTGTGATTTCTGTCCTCAAAGCCACTTAATCTGTCAGATAAACCATTATGTTGTGCGTTTGGAGGACAGAAGTAACAGCTGTCTCTATTACAAAATATTTGAAGTATTTGAAGACTGTGGGGAGGGTTGATGTTGATAAGAAGAAATCCGAGCTGAGGTTTGGAAATGGACTTTGATTCCTAAGGCAAGCTTGGAGCGGGCATTTGTCTCATAGTTTCGGTCGACAGAATTAAGATTTTTGAGGCTGTCACTTTATCTCTTTGACCTACATAGCAGCATGTAATCTTCCCCGTATGTTTTTGATTTGTTGAGGCTTAGTTTGGTATTCCACCTTTAGATGATGTGTTGCTTGGTCAGGGTCCCTAAAGCCTCCTGCTGTGCGTTGGCATCATTTGTTAATAAGTGTGTGCCAGGTCATCTGTGCGAACCACTCAGGTGTGAATGGGTTTAGATACTGTCAGCAGTACAGTTGTATAATGAATATATACAGACTGAGAATCTGAATGTAATCCCCATAACAGCATGACTTTTACACTATTTAAATCTGGATTACCCAACTTTCAAACCACAAATAAATAATAATAATATAAATATAAAAAAATCCATCTAATTTTTTCTCGCTCTAAAAACAGTTCGATTCCATCACTATTTACACATGCATTATTATATTGATCGGCCTCTGTCACATCTTTAGATCAGGTTTTTCTGACAGAAAATTTAAAAAAGCTCAGCCCACGTTTTCATTTTGTGACTCACAGGGCTCATTCTGGGAAATATACGAAAGACATGTTTTCTGATAAGAGAGCATGTTGTTGATGATTGTTCACATCACAACATTTTACTTTTACAAGACTCTTTTTGGGCTGGGAGTCGGGACCAACAACATGTGTTTTTTAGGAAAAATAAAAGTTAGGTAACCCAACTTCAATGTCAAAACAAACATTAAAAGAGGTAAACCCAACGCAGTGCAGGAGGAATGTTGGTCCAGAATAGGTGAAATACCTTGAAAGGGGATTAGCTTACTGTGCCAGTTTTAGGTTGATTAAAGAAATACTGAGAAGGCTTTCAGCTGTTTCCACTTGCTGCTGTATCAGTATAATAAAAGAAACAAAGAAATGGGTTAGCCCTATCCCATGGGTGTCAAAGTCAAGGCCTGGGGGCCAGATCCGGCCCACAAATGAATTATCTTGGCCGCCAGGATGATATTTGATTAGTATTAGAAGTGGCCCACACAAAGCCATAAGAAAACATTGGATTGGACCATTTTAAAGTAAATCAGTTCTGCAGTCATTTTAACTAACTGTAATTTCTATAATTGTATATTGTCCTTTTGTATTTTTATTGTTGTGTAACCTGCCTCGGGACTACGGATGTAAATTAGCAGTTTTGCTACAATCTGGCACATTTACAATTTGTGTACAACTTGTATATGATTGTTCATTAATGTGTGTTGTCCCGATCAAATAAATAAAGAAATAAATAAATAAAAAGATTATTTATTAATGTTCAGGACATGTGTTTTCTCTCTGAAGAAAGTTTGTTTTTGTTTGTGAGTCTGTTGACAAATGTTTTCACTTTAAATGACTGACACAGCCAAACAAAAATATTGAAATATTCATTTAATCATTAAATAAAATACGGTACACGCTGTTAGGTCTTGGTTCAACAGGTTATATGCAATACTTTTAATATATTTTAATAAACATTGAACCAGTCCGGCTCTCTGTTAGTAGCATTTTTTATTTTTTTTGGCCCTTGATGTATTTGACTTTGACATTCCTGCCCTAAATCTAACCCACATGGGAAAGTAACAGTTAGTAGTTAGTTGAATGGAGAATAAGGACTAACAAGTGCTTAATATATACCAATTGAGAGCTATTTAACTATAAATTATACACATATTAGCAATGTATTAACTTTTTTGGTCTTGACAACAGCCACTCCAACATGAGGTCCAGCATCAATGGTGCACTGGTCATAGACACCGTCACAGCAGCCTCCACCTCCTGCAGCAGTGATGAAGACCTGCCGGACTTCAGCTCTCAAAGCGACCTGGAGAGTGTGGCGTGTGACCCATCCGATGCTCCTGCTGACGGTGGAGTGGCATCCCCCTTCACTGGGCCGCAGGAAACACAGGTCCTGTCTCTGGCTCAGAGAGTTCAGCTGAACCGCATCATCCTTCAACAGCTGCTCAAGTCACCTCCAGCTGAGAACACAGAAACTAACTCAGGTAAGCATTTGTCCTGTAACTGTGGACCCCAGACTGGACTAGGTTAAATGATTAAAGGAGTACAAATCTGGCTAAAAGTGCTACTGCATTCTCTCCCACTCTCTCTGACTCATGTTGCCAGATATGCAGACAAATCCAGCTGGTTACCTTATAGGTGAATATACAAGAGTTTTGTGAACAACAAATCTATAACCAACACCTTTTTTCACAGAGATAGAAATCCTTGTTTTTTCCCCTTGTTTTGTCGTTATCGATTTGAGAATCATAACAAGATCTTTTATATTTCTGCGGCCACATGTTACTTTACCAGTGAGATTAGCGTGACGCGGTGAGTTCTGGCAGCCCGGATCACGGACTTTCTGATTAGTAAAACAGTGGAGGGCGGGACATCGAAATGAAAACAATAACAAGATTTAGGGGCTATAAATCTAATTCTGAAATTCAAATCTCGGCAGAACTTCTGTGTCAGTTAAAGAAGTATTGGAAATGAGCATGATTTATTAATACTTTAGACATATTAGGGTAATTTATTCTTACTGAGCAGAAAAAACTAAAAAACATTTTTTTTGTTCTCTCAGGTTCTGATTTAGATGAGTCTGATTCAGAAGATCATCAAAATGGAAACACAAACGGGTAATTTCATCATTTCATGAAAGAAAACAAAACTTTACCTATTGTCTATTTTGTTATTCAGATTGATTTTGAGTTATTGGGATTTCAAAACCTATGGAACTGATATGAATGTGTTTGTATCAAAAGCACACGAAAACCTAATGTTGACGTTAGATTTCTGATTTGTACAGTATGGTATGAATTATATTTTTACAGAGACAATACTCATTAGCCAAAAAGAGAGATGCATTGTGTATAGCAGGAGTGCTTATTTACATCTGTTGTGTACATTAGTCACAGTAACACCAGAAGTACATCATCAGAAAAGTTACTTTTTCATTGAATTTCCAGGTTATAATAAATAAACATAAAACTTTCTATATTGTATGAATCCTTTCAATGTACTTCAAATAGTTTGAATTTCCCACAACACACCCCACCCACAGTGCTGATGTAAACAGTCTGTGTCAGTTCTCGTCAGGTTAATTAGTCCTGACTAGTTGCTCCGTCTAATCCTCCTTCCTCTGTCCCACGCGCCAATGGAGTGAGCTGACGTCAGCCTCTCCCCTCCCCCACCCGCTGTCCCGGGCCTGTGCGTCTGTCAAACCCTTTGTGTCAGCCCGGTTGCCTCGGCAGCAACAGTGTGCGGACGGCGCTCGTATGAAGCGTCGGCCCGGACCCCTGAGAGCCGACCACAACCTGCTGGCCCCCGACCCGCGAGACCTGTGAGTAACTCCTTTATTCACCTTTATTTCATGGATTTGTGTCACTTTAAGTCAAACTCAACAGGTGGATCAGGACTCTCATCTCTTGTATCTATTCAACATGAAACATCATTGCCATTTAACATTTTATACATCATCATATACATCCAAATCTCATTATTAGATTATTGGTTTATGATATGTGATTTGTATTTTTTTTCCATGCTGAATTTTTTTTCAATGGTAAAAAGTTGCAGAAAATATGACCATTGGTATAGTGATAATATGTAACTAGTCTCTTTACTATTTGGGACTATCATTTGAATGGGAAAAAGTCCTCAAAATGTAGGAAGCTGAAACACACAAAATCATGTTGATGACTTTCAGCCAAATATAGTAAGAGCTCTTATAGCATACATTAAAAGAAAGTCTGTGTCATTATATTCAGAAAGAGTCCTAGCCATTTGTATGTTTTAAGATTCAGTTTGTTTAGAGAATAGACCACATTCATTACGGAAAAGGTACCGCTTACATGACACAGGTCTTCAGTATTTTGACCGATTGCGGACGAATACAGTAATAGCTCTTTTAGCATAAATTAAAAGAAAGTCTGTGTCATTATATTTACATTTCTTGAACATTCAAGTCTGATTGCATCCCAGGAGTAAAAGTGTGAATGGCAGCAGGTCGACACATGCTGCTGCACATGAGGAAAGCTGTCAGCTTCCTGTCACCGACAACAACACACACTCTGTTGGATTATTCTGGCACTCTGTAAAAACAAAAAAACCTTAGTGCCTTTAATGTTTTAAGTTAATTGTTGTTTTTTTAAATATAGAAAAGTTTAAAACATTTTTCATAAAATGGTCACAACAAATTTAGACTTTTCTAGAAAATAAGGGCCTGAGACTTACATAAAACAACATTGACCCAAAGGCTACACCATATGTAATCAAACCTAATACATGTATGGGATTTTATGTATAAAACCACAAAAATACAAAAAAATAAAATAAAAATAACTAAAAATAAAGTAATAAAATCCATATTTACCATAACTTTACCATAAAACTCCCAAAACTATCATATTCTATCACTATTATCATATATTATTTTATCACTAGATTTCACATGCTTTTATTTTTGGCCTCTGTCACATATCAGCCCTGTAGTCTGATTAATTCCCTAAAATCCACTTTTATGAGATTCTTTCTGTTGGAACAAACACAATGATTTATGAGAAAAAAGTGAGGTACCTAAACATAAGCATTTATTTAATTAAATGTTTTTGTCTTGCACAGGCCGGGGGTCAGGCACTGTGCTGCCTCCCATGTGAATTCTCTACCAGGACACCATCATAACGCCCCACACACCCAGGCAGGAAACTGGTCCGCAAGACGGCGACCGGAATCCTCTCCAAACCGCCGGCTACGCTTTGAAGATGAAACTGAGACTGAGGCGGAGTCACGTTACCTGGAGCGGCAGAAGAGGAGGGCGGGGCAGCAAGTGCAGGACATCCTAGTATCCAAACCAGATGTGTCACATTATGTCAGTGGCAGACATAAATTTAAGGGGGAAAGTCAGCACAAAAGTCAACAAGGAGTCAAGCTCCAACTTCACCCAACTCTTCCGGTTTACAGCCACGGCCAAATGTTGTACCCAATTCCACCTGCCAGACCTGTGATCAGTCTGCACACTGAGCCCATCAAAGAGACGTACATCGGTGTGGTTATGTTCAGCGACAGCGATGGAGGAGAAACTGAGGAGAAGGTGTACTACAGGAGAGCCTTAAGTAGAAGGAAGACCAGTCACATAAAACAAAATGGACTTCATAAACAAGCCACACCCCAGCCAGACCTGCCTGTGAACCCATATGCCCCAGCTAATGTTAAAGTTCACTCCTATTCCATTTTCTCTCCTCCTCCCGCATTAGTCTCAGTGACTCCACACAATGGAAAGCCCAATGACACACAGACAGACAAAAAGCATAAAAAAAGCAAAGCCAAAGCCCAAAAGTGCCAGATCGATGACCTCACAGACCACGATGAACAGAGGGTCTCAGAGGTGGAAGCACCTGACAGTGAAAGCAGCAAGTTGAAAACACCTTCTGCATCAACAGGTCAGTAGTTCATCAAGTAAACAAGTCATCTCCATTTTGCGGAGGTTAAAGCTGGAGTGTGTAGTCTCCCTTTCGACTCACTGAGCCGATGCTCTATAAGCTTTGATCAACCGTATGAACATGTGCTGATCATCGAGTCAGAACGAAGCCTTTTAGATTTAAATCAGAAACATATTTTATTCTTGAGACTTGTGTGGCAGCTCTGATTGCTACCCAAGAAAATGACATGACATGACTTCTTTCATTCTGCTTTCTGATTGGATTGTCTATTTGAGAATCACACAGCCAAAATGACATTATAGAAAAACTCACAAACTTACAATTGTTTTTTTAATACCCACTCTGCACATCATACAATAAACAATCAGCTAAATATAGCTGGCTTCTAACGGTTTATAAATCATGTTGATAATATATGTCACTTTCAGGGGGTCATAACATTCTTGCGTCATCCAAGTCCAATGGATCCAAAAGTGGGAAAGAGCCAATGAGAGCAGAGCATCGATCGCCTCTGGAGCCGTGAGTGTTTGAAAGAAAGTTTAAGCAGGATTCTATTGCAAAAACACATAAGTAGGATAAAAATAACCCTTATTTATTAAAGGCATGCTGTAAACAACCACTCATCCTATAAAAAGTAAAATCACACTAACAAAAATAAAGAGGACAACACATGGCAATAAACGAGAGGTACATATCTGATTACCAATGAACCATGAAAACATAATTGACATCATGAGTATTGAGGTTTCTGAGTGTTCTGATCCAGAAACACCACATATATTTTCTATATGTAATATTTACAACTAATTATTCCACAAAACAGCTAGATAAATCCATTATGAATATATTTTTAGTTACCTAGTCCCTTAAACTGTGTTCTGAACAACAATTAAAACAGTGACAACTATTCTATTTTTGGCCTTAAACAACAGACAGAACTAAAAAAAAAAAGCAAAATTGTAGCTGTAAGTTTTTAAATAGGCCATGGGAAATAAACGAGAGAGGACTGTCAATTATAAATCCAGTGTGACCAGTCTCTGTACTGAATTACATAGTGTTTACTTTAAATACTAGTCGCACTTTTGAAGCCGAAAGTCGACCAAAGTAACGGGTTGTGGCTCAGTAATAGAGTAACTTAATCAGTATAGAAATGTAGAAAGGCATTTTAAATGATCTAAAAGATAGATATTGTAAATAATAATCGTTGAGTCTCTGATCAGCCGACAGACTCAAAGCATTCTTGAATCCCTAAATGATTGACAGTATCAAAGTCCTTGGACAGATCATACAAAATATCATCATATGCAACGATGTACAGTTCCCAAAGGGGTACAATTACATTTCAAAGTTACTGTATGTACCTGATTAAACGCACATGATTTTTGTGTATTCTCAGGGTGGAGGGCTCTCGTCTGTCTCTTCGTCGCCTCTTCTCCTCTGTTCGATTGGGCCGCAGTCGGAGCAGTAGTCTGGACCGGACCAGTTCACACACTCTGCCCGGGGATCAGCACCAGTCCCACAGTTTGAAGAAAACCCCCTCTGTCCAGTCTCTGACAATGGTGTGCACAGAAACATACACATGTAGAAGTAGAGGGCATGAGAGACAAGGTTAACTTAGAAATAAGAATGGTTAAAGGAGAAGTACATAAATCTGGTCAAAAGTGGTACCACAACCTCTCCCACTCTCCCTGACTCGGGTTGCCAGATATGCAGACAAATTCAGCTGGGAACATTATAGGTGAATATATATATAGAGTTTTGTCAACAACAAATCTATAACCAACACCTTTTTCACAAAGATAGAAATCCTTGTTTTATTCCTTGTTTTGTCGTCAATGATTTGAGAATCGTAACAAGACCTTTTTTAGTTCTGCGGCCAGATGGTACTTTACCAGTGAGATTATCTCAACGCAGTGAGTTCTGGCAACTTTTATCACAGACTTCCTGATTGGTAAAATGGTGGAGGGCGGGACATCGAAATGAGCCGAGATTTTTTAAATTCAAATATCTCGGCTGAACTACCGTTATCAGTTAAAGAAGTATTGGTAAAGAGCATGGTTTATTAATACCTTTGGACAGATTAGGGCCCTTTAATGATGACTTGACATCACAATCTTACAAATTGCTACTTTATGGAATAAACTCTGTAATAATCAGCAGTGTCAGTGAGATCAAGCTATTTACATTTGTCCTTGTTTCTCTTTTGCAGGGGTCATCATTTTTAAGTCTAAGAAAGTCTGCTTCTGTTCAAAACTTTATGTCAGAGCACAAAAAAGATCGATCTGAACACTACAAACCCGGCACTCAAAGGTAAGTTTTACTGTTGTGTGTGTGAGTTGTTGAGTCTCCAGAATGACGTCCATCCTGTGTGGACAGTGCCCTGCAGCGGTGCCTGAGTGTGGAGGATGTGAGCTGTCCGAGCTCCCTGCGCTCTGTGGGTCGGATTCTCCAGGTTTACACAGACGGAACTCTGCTTCTAGAACTCTGTCGACCCAAGAGCCAAACGTACGGATTTATTATTAGCAGAGGAAAAGGACGCACTGACTCAGGTATCGTTTCCTCTGTCTGTCTGTTACCTGTAAACGTTTGTGCGACTAACTGCCACACTGGAAAACATCCCTTGAAAAAAATCAGAAAAAATATATGAGGATTAGAGGTGCAACGGTTCATCACTGATCTGTGATCCGTTCGGTTCAACGTCTTCGGTTCGGTACAGACGTGATCCGCGGTTTGATTTATGAAAAAAAAGTTGTGCGCACGTTATTCAGTCCACACACAGCGTGGTCATTGCGAGCGGAGGAACGGAGATGCTTGAAAGCCCTGCGTCATTTAAATCCCCAGTATGAGAGCATTTTGGCTTCACTGTAACTACACTGATAATTAATATTCGACAAAACTGTCACGATGTGTAAGCACTGTGGCACAAGAAAGACATGAGTGAAAAAAGCGTCTCAACGACCGCTTATTGTCGCGGCATTTAAGCAGCTCCTTTACGCACAGTCAGACCGGGCTAAAGTCAACTCTCCCGCGCATCCTCAGCTGCGCTCACGACTGACGCTCGGACGTCCCGCGGAACCTATAATAGATCCATGAGCGGAACCGCTCACTTCATCACCGCAGACTGGGAGATGAAAAGTCTGGCGCTGAAGACACGCCCCCTCTACGACAGTCACACAGTCACACAGCGCAGGTACTGACACAGCAGTTGAGGAATGGAAGACAAAGGCCCAGTACTAATATCCCAGTCACAACTGATAATGCCAAAAATTAAATAAATGCAGTGAATGAGGCTGGGCCCAGAATGGAGCGCCTCCTCGAATCAGGAAGGTGGTGTAATATATGAGAGTAAATATCCTCATAAAGTGCCTTCTTATGTTGCACTTTGTGTTGTTTTTCATTAATTATGTTAAATAGACATAATTGGATGGAATATGCCTTCCATCCATCCATCCATTTCCTTCCCCTTAATTCATTTCTAGGTCAGGGGGGGCAGTCAGAGCAGGTGCCGAGTCCACATGAGCTGTGTTTATTAAAAAGACAACACTTTTTTTTTGAAAAATGAACCGAAAAATGAACCGAACCGTGGCCTCTGAACCGAGGTACGAACCGAACCGTGATTTTTTCAAACCGTTGCACCCCTAATGAGGATACTGTAAAATACTGTTTGAAATAATAAATAATAATCTGGCAATAGAAAAAAAAAAAAAATGACTTGATGAGATTTCTGAAAATAAGAAAATAACACTAGCCCCAAATGACTTGAACCTAGTTTAAAAACATTCATTTCAAGTATTATTTACTTAAAAATATATATATATTTTAATTCAGATTTTTTTAATACAATATGTTTTATATCTATATGCACTGATTTTATGTTTTGTCTTTTAATTGCTCGTGAAACACTTTGGTTACTCTGTATGAATTTTTTGAAGTATTAATAGTTGTAACTAGTAAATAAAAAACCTAAATTCATGCAAAAAAAAAAAATACAAGCATAATTTAAGTTATTTTTGTGAATAAATCCTAAATGTAGATTTTTTTTCAGTGCAGTCAAATTAGTGCACTTGTATACAGTAAACTAAAAACATTATGTAGATCTTTATTTATGCATGCCTTCTTGATTTTATTCTGCTTTAACTTGTTTGCACTGAGAGCCAAAGCTATATCCTAGTTTGTGACTTCCTGTTACTCACATGGCAATACAAGGATTCTGATTCTGATAGTGTCATGTTTGCCGATGCAGGTGTGTATGTGGAGGAAATGGTGGACAGCAGCACTGAGAAGCTGTACGCCGGACTGTTGGCGATAGGAGACGAGATCCTGGAGGTGAATGAAGAGAAAGTGGCCTGTCTGAGTCTGGACCAGGTGACCCTCCTGCTGAGCCACAGCAGCACAGTGAGAGTGAGAGTCCTACGACAAAGGAAGCCTCCCTCTCGGTGACGTCACACCCGACCACTGCGTCATATCAACTTTGCTGCTTCCTTTCCATACTCCACAGTTTGTTTGCCTGTCACACAGTTGTCTTGCATGCTGACGTCGATTTACAAAAAGCCTACTCAGTATTACCTTTAATGTATTTATTATATGATTATTTATATTTCAGCTCTTAATAAAGACATTATTTTTTTGGAGATACTAAACTTTTTTAAAATATGTAAATAAAAATGGTAAAATGGTTCAAATTCACAGGGGCTGGTGTTCTGTGAATTGGGTGGCATGTCTGACGGTCCGGACTAGATCATATACGCTTATAAGGAAGTAATTAATCCTACTTTCTATCTATCTTGAAAAAGAGATTATTAATCTCAATGAGGTTCTCCTGGTTAAATAAAGGTTAAATAAAAATAAAAAAACTTTTGATTTCGTTTAAAATCATGGATACATAATAATAACTGTAAATATGCATTGACTGTAAAAACGGATTAACTATAAATATTACATAGCGGTAGTTTGTAATGGGTGACTGGTTAAGTTTTAGGTGTCTGAGTAAGATGGTTAAGGTTAGGATTAAGGGTGGGTTGGAGTTATTTTATGGGAGCTGGTTATATTTACTTCCGCTTCTGTCTCGATTCCGTATATGATCCAGTGCTGACCATGGATCTATTATAATAACTAATGCTGACCCATTTCTGACTGCCACCCCCCGCAAGCCAGAAATGGATCAAGGGGAAGAAAATGAATGAATGAAAATGTCTTCAGTCTCAAGAATTGTTTTCATAATAACCATTTTATTGATCGTTTATCAACCGCACAACTTAATTTCATTTTGACCATTTGCAGACAGAAAAATGACAAGTTTCTTAGTGGTTCAGTGACTAGTGAAGATCCTAAATCACAAATGAAACTTTTGTCAACATTTTTAAAAGTCACATCAAAAAAAATGTCCTATATAGTTTTCATAAACAATAAGCACGGAGTCACACATACACTTGAATATGCTGCAGCTCATCAATGCTATTTCCAGGTTTTCTTAAAAGTATATAGAAGGATTTTCCCAAATTTTAGGAAAGAACCGCCCTCTCCACTTTTTGAACCAAACTCTCTGGTCTTATTTGACGAGCACATAGCACCAGAATGATTGACAATTGAGACGACCAATAGTCTTGATCCACCCAGAAGTAGAAAATCCTCCTTATACCTTTAACATAAAAAAATGTGGTTTAAAAAGATATAGTACATTATTCAAATAGTTTTACAATAATGCTGCATGAATGAAGTAATATACGATCGAAGCAAGAAATATCATGAATACTGGATGTTATATTATTAGTCACTCTCTTCTGTATTAGTGCTACTTACTATTTAAATTATTAACCAAAAAAAAGCAATATTACAATGTTATAGAAATGTTCCCTGGGTACCATTGTGGGAAATAGGACCATGCATATTTGCTACAACAAAAACACCAGATTGAAACAAAACAAAACTCATGCTTTTGAAGACAAAAACAGCTCAGGAAAGAAAAAGTCTTCGCAGCAGAAAAATTCAGTCAGTTAAACAAATAAACTAAACGTAAACATAATTATTGTAGTGTTCTGGTTTTTGTTGTCCATTTTATTGGCTTTGTTCTAAAACGTTGGATTAGCTCAAGCTGTAATAGTGTTTTTGAATCAACAAAAAAAATAACCAAAGTGCCTTTACATTTATCTGAGAAGCAGGGGGTGCAACTTGAGCTGCTTAAATGTTCAATTTGAACCATTATTACTTATTATCCTCATGTTCAAAATACAAACCGGAATAAAACCAGGACCAGACAAGGTTTGGTGAAGGTTAGAAAGTAAAGAAACGTGAAAAACAGAAAAATCCACACCGCTATGTTGCTCCCAAGTTTCTGTTTTTTTACAGACCACGAAGTAATGTTTTGAGCTACTTTGTGTATGAGCAGATTTTTCTCTGTGTTTCATATTTTGCACTCTTTGTGAATCCAGCACGCTAGTCCAGGCTACTGGGATGAGCGGCCTTATTTGGAAACCTTCTAGAAAGTAAAGAAAAACAGGGTTTCAACACATGATTAGTGCAGATAAATACAATAGCAGAGATGTGTTTAAAATATATCACAGATGTCAGAGAAAATATCCTCAGTTACTGTGCTGTTATAAACTAAAAGTGAATGATTAAGCATACTTTAAAATTGCTCCATTAAAAAAAAAAAATCCAGTTAATACATCAAATGGAAAGGATGTCCTGAGGCAACAGTAAATGCATGAATTGGATAAGACAAATCCATGTCGCTGCTCATTCACCTGTCTATAACAACAGAGGTTGATGTCAGTCTTAATTTTATGCCTTAAAATGTTGAAATAGTCTTAAAGACAAACAAATAACTCTTTTTTTTTTTTCTTGGTTCTTTCAATACAAAGTGGCGTGTTCCCAGAAAGTTCAATATTTTTGAAACATTAGTGTATTGTATGATCACCAGGCTCAGTAACACAAAGAGATTTCTTTTAAATTCAGGACGGCTGTCAAGTCATAGAAAATTGGAGTGTCGACATCGGATTAAGACAAATGAGTGATTTGGAAACCATCCCTCGATCAAAGCACTGCAAAGAGGATGATGATGACGAAGAGTATCCCCAGCAAAACGCCGATAGCACACCACTGTCTGCGATCTGCAGAGGCACAACGTGTTAATGACATAGAAATGATGTTTTGTGAATGTGTAAATATAAGAATTACCACTCGTCATGTGGGAGACTTTAGCCAATTTCTTCATCACGTTGTCAAGTCTGGAGTGAGTGTTGTCCATCTCGTGGCTGAAATCATCTAACATCCTAAGAAAAGACATGAGCGTAGTTAGAAAGGGAAGGAAAAACAGAACCATAGAGTATTATAGAGAAGGTAGTCGTACACAGACTGTTCGTCCAGCTCCATGCCAATCCGTTCAGACATGTTCTTTAACACGCCAATGGTCCCAGACACAAGCTCCAGCTGCTCATCCTGCTGCCCTGCTATCAGCTAATACACAAACACATCCAACTTCTGTAGAACTACAAACCAAGGCGGCCTTCCCACTTAGTTCAGCGTCTAATTATGGACATTTGAAAGCACCAAACACATGCACCCTGTTCCAGTAGTAAGAGAAGAGAACTGTTATTTGTATGTTGTAAAGGGGAAAGGGAAAAGAGAGCAGTAGACCCTGAGTGTGAATGCACCCTGTACAGTTTTCTTCTCAAATATAGATCCTTGATAGCACACTGTATATGGCAGAGGTTACAAGATTCATACACAATGTCTAATTGCATTTGTCAACATCATGGTGAGTGAACTGTAAGTGATTGTACCTGTTGCTGGGTCTGCTGTTCATCAATGAACTGAGAGTTGGCATTCTGTAGCTGCCGATCCAACCGGCTGTATTTATCCGCCTCCGGGAGACCGATAGGACCTTGAGCACGCTCTCCAAGTAAACTCTATGTCACATAAGAAACAATAGACTTCTATCTGTAGTAAACCTTTTTTCATTTGGAAAAGATGTTAGTACCTGTTTATTCTTTTGGTCCTGAGACACAGGAGCAGGACTCGACATCTGCTCCTTCATTTCCTGAGGAAAAGCAGAAAACATGAACAGTTTTGTTGATAGAATCAAGAGTCTAAAGGAAAAGACACAGTACCTTTACAGATTGTCTGGTGTTAGTGATAAAGGCCTTTCTCTTTGACAACTCCACTGTATCCAAATTAAACTTTTTTGGATTAGACTCTACAATACGTTCACGAGTCAAGAATAGTACTTTGTAAAGTTGAAGATGGAAATGATATAAATGCAACTGAACTGGCACAAATGAATGAACTTCTTAGTAAAAGGATATTGATAGTTTCATCCAGGTCTTCCAGATCCCACTCGATTGAGCGCAGGCTGTTCCTCAACTCATTTGTTGTCCAGTCCATCTCCTCCTTGGAGGCTCCCGCTCCCTCCTGCAGCAGCTCGCTCCATCTCTGGTAGAGGCTCTGGGCCGCATTCAAAGCTTTATGCACCTCCCTGCTCAATGTTATTCAACAACATATGGACACAATAAAATCAGACAATTAGCTCATTCTATCTCTGTGACAGAGGGACACCAAAACTAGTATCTATGTAGACACATACGGGTTAAACAGTTTAGTATTGTCTCTGCCTAGGTAGCTAAAATAAATGAATACATTGTTATAGTATTTTTACACTAATGACCATATGGTATGGTGTGCGCGCAGAGAGAGATCTTAGAGTAAGATATGTAATATAGTCAGATAATACTATAATAATGGTGTGATTCTAGTCGCTAAGCGTCGTAAATATTCCGTATAACGGAGGTCCAGTGGAATAACCAGCCTGGCTTTAACATGAGCATCAGGACAGTAGCAGAGTTAGCTGTGTTCAGTCTTTTACCCTTTGACGACAAAGAACGGATCTTCCATCGACATCTTGGCGACTTTTGTTTATTCTAGTCAAAAACGTGATTGTACTCGACAATAAGCATCTGCGCGTTTGTGGGATTAAAATACACTACATCTAAGTGATTAGCGGAGTATGTGTGCCCCGGAACGGCTAAAAGCTTTGTTTACAACACGTCACGCAGCAGCAGCTTCCGCAGAGCATTACGTCATCAACGTGCGTGAACGTCAAAAGTGCGCGATGCGTTTGATTGGTCAATCAGAGCCATCCATCTATGGTCATTTACTCATTTATGTTATCTTCTGACACTATTATTCTTATGGCATAATTAGCATGAAAACACATGACAAACAAAAGAAAGAAAAATTTGAAAAATATGTCACGATTCACATCTTTACTTTTCTTCTTGTCAACAAATACTGTGTAATGTTGCATTGTACATTGACAAAACCTGTTGAATGTGTGCCTTTGTGTTTTATTTAAGAGGTTTGTAAAGCAATGAATAAGAGTTAAGTTCAACTGGCTTAAATGACAAGACAAACAATAGAAATCTTTACTCGATGTTGCTTCTGTTCCTCTATTCTATTATTTTGTCACTGGAGAAAATAAGAATGCAAAAAAAATGTGCAACAGTCCTTTTAGTCTCACATGTCAATGTTCTAATCTGTATAGATTCGTTTTAGTATCTCGTTTCATCTGAAGGAGCCCTCTGCACTGGGAGCAGTGGTCGGCTGGGGCTGTAAAGGTCCAGCTCATGAACCTGGTGCATGTCTGGATCCTCCTCTGGGTCCTGTGTAGTCCCCTGTGGCTGCAGGCGGCTCTCTGCTCCTGGTGCAGAGGCTCCTTGGATGATGTTTCGTCAGCTGATTAAATCTGAATATAGAGTATCTCTTGTGGCCATACCTGCATATGAAAGCCTGATCCCGTCAGACCTCTGGAGCTAAGCAGCGCAGGGCCTGGTTAGTACTGTAAAGAGAGACCACTTGGAAAGTGCCAAACTGTTGTGTCCTTAGGCAAGATACTTCACCCACATTGCCTATAAATGAGTCAATGAGAATGAGTGTGTGAACGGTTGGTGATGATTGTAGGGGCACATACTGGTTGACTCACTTCTGTCAGTGTGCCCCAGGGCAGCTACAGTAGTAGCTAATCACCACTGTCTATGGAATGATTGTTGGACTTATACCAATAAACATTGCTCATTCCAATAAAATTAGATATACTTAACAGTAGTAGTTAAACTAACACAATGGTTTGGAACAATCTGAAAGCTAAAGAGTCAGAGTTTTGATTAATGCAACAGCAGCTGTGAGCCAACTTTATTGAACAATAAAATACAACATTTTGGTGAGTGAGAGATCAATAACTATATAACTTTCTAACCTCTCCGCAGAAGCACAGTAATCATTTCAGTGAGCGCAGCCCCACACTCCCTAAAGTTAGGCAGCAAAAACACCTTTCATCCACAGTGTTAAGTCACTTAATTTGAATGAATGCAAAAAACACCTCTCATAGAAGGCAAGGGTAAGCGTTTGGTCATGTGAATATTTGCATTGTACAGTCCATTAGGAGATCCATAAGGCATTTATTGACAAGACAGTCAATCATCATGAGGTCCTGGCTAAATTTCTTTACATACTTCAAACTTCAGCTTGTGCTTCAATCACCCAGTCTAGATCTAAACACCTATTGTCTTTTATTTAGGTGATTGTAATAAAACAAAGACATACTGAAGATGAAATGATGCCAAATTATACTAACCTGCAACAAGCTCTGGCCAGCCACCTCACAGGTGCAGTCAATACATTCCATATTTGTTTATTTCTTTCTTCTTAGAAATTAAATGTTAAATAGGAACTGCATTGCCCTTGCCCAAAAGCCCTCAGGTGAACTTCAAGTTCTGTCATTGTTATACACACAACTCAGTGTCCACTGTCTGATCAAAATATCTCTCAAGTTAAAAGAGACTCTGTGGAAGGAAAAAATATCAATAAATCAAGTCTGACACATACACCCATCGTGTGAAAGCAAGCTAGCCTGCTCTTGTGCAGAGCCTGAAGCTGGTAATAAAACAGTTCTAATAATCTAAACGTAAATAAATTAGTGTTTGCACTGTCAAAACTCCAGCCACAACATACCCAGTATAGGACTCTTCAGAACAAAAAAGAAATAATGTCAGACAAGAAGTGATTATTGAACCCTTTGATTACGTCACTTTCTGTGGCACAAAGTCTCATGGGTAGGGTGATGCCACTTGGGTCTCATGAAGGGCCAGTAGAGGCTGTACCTGCAGTCTGTACTTTGGCAGAGTCTGTTTGTAAAGGGGAGGAGCTTCCTCCAGAGGATGCTTCTGCTTCCTCCGACTGACCGACAAGCGTGTGGCTCGGTGAGGATGTTGTTGTAGATGTTCTATCAGTAGCCGAGTCTGTATCACCTACAGTTGTGGCATCAGGTCCTACTGTAGTAGTTTGAGTTTCACTTTGTGCTGCTCCTCCTTCCATATCAACCCGTCCAGTTTCTGGAGTCAGGTTATCTCTTGGTAAAACCCCTGGGATCCTTAGGTTACGTAGAGTAGGGTGCACAGATAGAGCCTGATTGAAGACGTCTGACACCCAGTTAATTTCATGTGCGACCACTTCATCACTGTAGGCTATTCGTCCAATTGGAAGGGGCATGTTTGGCATGGAAGTATTCGGCAGTGCGGGGGTAACTTCCTGTGAGGAGGCAGTAGTCAATGTGGAGCCAGCTGGCCCTGATACAGACAAACTACATGCTGAGCCAGGAGAGCCAGACACTGAGCCAGATGGTGTCAGGCCCAAGCCTGAAGGATGCAGCTCTGTCAGGACCTCTGGCTCAGAGGTGGAGGACACAGGTGAGTGTTGGGGGGCATCAGGAGCAGGTTCTGGCTGTGCTGTAGCAGAGGCCCTGGCCCTCTGTGGTGTGGGGTTGTTTTGAGCTCCCTGCTGGTTCTGAAGCAGCATCTCCTGGATCCGGATTTGTTGCAGAATAGCAGGAAGTTCATAATGATGAAAGAAGTAGATCATGGAGTGCTGTTGATAAATTGGCAGAGGTTAGGTTCAGCTAGTGTTGGACAAGTTACTTCATCAAAGGTTACTGTGTTAAAATGTAGTGTTGTGGAACTCACTCTCTCACACATCAGCAGCTTGGATCCACTTCGAAACTTCAAATCATGCTTAAAACCTACCTGTTGAAAACTGCCTCCACTTAAATGTTCTTTAAGCTTTTCATTAACCTGACCCTTTGTAAAGAATCTTTGAGAGTCTAGAAAGCAGTCTATAAGTATCATATATTATTATTAATAATAAACGTTGATCTTTGTAATTTAATTCTTAAATTGTGTAACAACTATCACCTTTGTGATAGACATGCAAAGTGCCACATGTCAAGCCTTTGTTATAGTATTTAGAGTTTATGGCTTACATTAAGGTCTATTTAAAAAAATAAAATATAAATTCTATATATGTTTTATTTGTGGGTTATACAATTTGTGGGCCATAATTCTAAACAGATAAAGGCTGGGTACATCTCACGTTCACCACAAGTTATATTAACTATACAAGATCTGTGTTTCCGCAAATAATTGAAAACTGTAATTGTAATGAGTTGCACAACTGACATCAGAATCAGAATCATTTTATTGCCATGAGAGTAACAGGAATTTACAAACTAGGAAATTGCTTTGGCTCTCGGTGCAAACAAGTTAAAGCAGAATAAAAACAAGAAGGCGTGCATAAATAAAATCTACATGTATTTCTTCAGTTTACTATATACAAGTGCACTAGGTGCACACAAAGTATGCCGTTGAGAGTGCGGTAGAGTGCAGTAAAGTGACAATAGCATAAAGTAATAATAGTATGTTACAAGGTGCTTACCTGAATAAAGAGCCAGGATGTTACCAGGGCTAGACTGCTGTACTGACCATTAAAGCGGTAGTGATAAGCGTAGAAGGCAAAGTGGTACAAATAAAAGAACCTGCAATTCAAGAAGAGAAATCATGACTTTTCCTTCTGAATACAGACATTAAAAGTATTGAAACAAATCATCCAGTCTCTGCAACTTACCTCAGCCAATAGCGTTTGCTTGTGTTTGTGTGACAGCAGATGGCGTCATATTGGTCGGATAACCAAACAATGAGGATGATGTAAAAGGCAGTAGTTGTATCGTTAAAGAACTCTGACATAATGGCCTCCATTCCTGAGGGAACATATTAGAGGCCATTATTACATCCACATTTGAAGAAACTACATTTCCTAGGTGTTTAACATACCGACAAGAGCAAGAATGACTGTAAGGAGGGGCGCAGCGGGAAAAGCAATGGACAGGTTCAACTCAAACATCTGAAGGAGGTCCACTGATAAAAAAAAAAAAAAAATAAACACATACAAGTTATAAACAAATACCCATGAACCTTGTCCTGTTTTTGTACTTGTAACTAACCAATGAAGACAAATATCTGATGGTGCGAATATCTGAGCAGCATCGAAACTGAAAGTGTCTGAAAGAGAGAGAATGGCAATACAAAAATAAGAATTCTGTGGCATAGACATATTGAACTTGCAGCTCAATCACGTACAAAGATCACCATGATGACGAATGCAGCGAGATACGATGTCCTTGCCATCCACATGCTGACAAAGCGGTAGTGCTCCCCAGAAACAACATTTCTCAGGAATCCTGTGTAACAATGTATTAGTGCAGAACCAACAGGATGGTGAACATTATCTCTACTTTGTATTTACAGCTTTACTTGTTACTGGCTTCTTACCCTTGTTTTCCTCATTCTCAGCAAGAGCCTTGACACTAGACATCAAGATATCATCATAGCCTAAAAACTGATCCAGCAAGAAGCGACTAAAGCCATCACCAAAACATTCGTCCTTCATGGGATCTGTAATCAAATGCAGCAGAGAATTGTAAAGTGCAAATGTCGTTTCATGTGATCAGAGCTGTGTGCACCTCTTTCTTACCCAGAGTGACGATCATAACGGGGATATTCAGCTTTTGTCTGGTGTTTTGAGACAAGCGCAAGAAACCATACTCCAGAGAATACTCGACGATGTACTCTTCGTATCGCACTGCAACATTAGCCGACATTATCATAAAATAACATTTCCAAAGGAAGCATGAGATTATGTGTATAAAATATGCACATGGACAGCAATAACAGTTAAATTAAAACTTTCTGAGCACTATGTTGGAGCTGCACTGTTTAGCATAAGCTGAAGCTGCTGACATGAAACTTGTGAGATCCGTGCCACATGGACAGAAATGTGATAAATTAATGATCCACGTTTAGTCCAACATCCAGTGGGAGCGACAGTATTCCTATTCAAGTTTCACAAATAAGACCTGAAAAGGGATGAATTTGGGCCAGAGTCCACATCGTTCCTTTGTGCCTATTTTTAACCAGACAATAATATGGAAAGGAATTTACTTATCACAATTATTAGCCGTTTTATCCAACTCATTTTTGAACCATGTACTTGTTATTTGTCCTGTTTTATGGTTATGTTAATGCTAGGGATGTAAATCGGTGACCATTTAACCGGTGGTTGACCGTCACAGCGTTAACCGGTCAAAGCTGTCGGGTAAAAAAAAAAAGAAAAGGGGGAGAGGGGAGGCCTCTTAATAACGCTATTTTAAGCCCTAGCTGTGTGCGCCAATGTATTGGTAAACTCCGGGCCTACTTTCATGCTTCACGCGCCACATATGCACGTGCACACACATTTCCCTCCCTCAATTGACACGTAACATCCACACGCATCATCTCTCCCCTCTGTTACTAGTCCGCCAAAGTTGCACACTAGTGCAGGTTAGAACTACACTGGAGATTATATTTACACACACACACATATGTACACATCCACACATGCACACACACTCACACATACCGGTCTGTCGCGCTCCTCTGTGTCATGGAGCCCAAAGGATCCTCGCAAATACGCGGCTTCAGTCAAACCACATGAAACATGTTTGTGCTCATGGTCCTTGGCATCAGCTCCACACACATCACTTGTATATAAACTTTAGCGGAGATCTACTTGCTGCTCTGACCATGTCAACGTTAACTGCTAAAATGCTTTAACCCGCAGCACAGAAGAATGGGAAGATTAAAAAAGCAGTTCTCTGTGCGCAAAGGTACCAAAGCTGTTGCGGGTTTTGGCGCCGCTGTCTCAGCTCTGATCCAGTAGAATGCATAGCGAAAAGTACGCGGCTCAAAATGGCTGTTATTTCAAAGAACGTGGAATATTTTAAACTACGCGGTTAACCGTTTCAACCGGTTAATGAGGCTCGGTGGTCGGTCATGAAAACATGACCGACCACCATAGTTTTTTACATCCCTAGTTGATGCTTGTGACATTTTTGGATGGAGGAACAGAATCCTGCAACGGCTACGTACCTTTAGCCATCTGGCTGAAGGAGACATTCTGGCTCTTATTTACTGCCCCCACAGCTCCAACAAGTGAGGACTTTAGGCGAGGCTCAAGGTCAAGCTGAAACTGAAATAATACAAAAACATGTAATAAACATAAGGAGTAAGACCGACCGAAGGCTAAAGGTGAATAATTAAGCATGACTGATTCAACAGCAGGTTATTTATCAAAATTGTAATGAAAACGAGAATGACTGAAAATTAGTAGTACAACATTAGCAAAGAAAACAGAACAGAGACCCCAGAGAGACCAAAGAGAGATCAAAGAGAGAGACCAAAGAGAGACCAAAGAGAGACCAGAGAGCCTCCCCAACAAAAGGACAAAAAGAGATGCCAAGTTGATTTCAATATCTGGTTGGATGCACGACAACTTCGCTTTCTTTTAAATGGTTTTTGACGGTGTCTTTGTAAATTCAGATAGACCCAAAATAAACTGACCATTCAGTTTCACATTCCCTTCTGTTCCGGAATTGAGCCTCAACTACAAAGTAACTCGAGCAGGAACAGACCATTTCCACATTGGCTTTTTAGTAGCAAGATCATACCCACCCATATATTTGGCTTCAGATTCTCACCCATGGGGCCTGTTTGAGCTAGCGCCAATCAGCTTTTTCCAGAAGAAGTACCAGTATGGGTGACGTCAGCACTCTGCTAGTCCACCTCTTCTACTGGCAATGGTTACAGACCCAGATCCATATTTTATTTATTATTTATTATTTATTTTCCTTAATTAAAACTGCCACCACAGACTAAAATTAACATCCTGAATGCAAGCCTTTTTAGCTTTTATTGTGTGTCATTTATTTTCACATGCGCAGTCCTACTTAACGTAACATTAACATACTATATCTGTACTTACGTGCACAGAGCTATTGTCAAACATCTCCACTGTCATCTCCTCCTCTTCCTCCTCTTCCTGCAGTGCTGCAAGACTGAGCTCAGCCACACTTGCTCCTTCTCCAGGATATTCTGCATTGAGTTCTTCCTGGAAACTTGAGTCGTAGTACTGAAGAAAGACCGGTGCTCTGGTGGAATTCCACTGGATCTCAACTCGAAGAATCCCGTCCCGAGGCCAGCGTTCCCTCACCACCTCCAGACAGTTGATTGGTGACCGTGAAAACGCAATGTGTATATAGGCAAGGATGAAGAGGACAACAATTGCCTGTGTATGATGAAACAAGAAAAAATATATTATTGGGATAGATTCTTGCAAGAGCATGATAAATAGGATTAGAAAGGATTAGCCACACAAAACAAATATACAATGTCAACATCTATGGGGCCAGCTACACACCACCTTTTTGAGACTCTCTGGAACTCACTTCCACAACCCATTAGAAACTCCAACTGACAACAGAACTTTAAAATCACTTTGCAAAATCCACCTGTTTCAGGTTGCCTTTCCCTAGTTTCGTTCTTCATTGTTTATTTGTATGTGTTTTGTAAAGCGTCTTTGAGTGTCCAAAAAAGGGCTATATAAGTTTGATGCATCGTTATTATAATTAAATCACTGATGTAAATTGAATCCAGAGCACTAGATTAGGGCTAAAGACTAGATTTCTTAGAGTGCCTGATTTGATTTTTAAGTGGGAAAGGCCTGACTTGGGAAGTCCCGTTTTTCTGGTTTAAGAGTTTAAAAAGTAGTACATGTGTTCCTTCTGTGTTATCAAAGTAAAAAAAAAGTAAGTAATCTTTATTTTTATAGCGCCTCTCACAGACCGGTCAGGGCGTTATTCCTCTCACTCCACACAGTGATGGGAGCAGGGTCGCCTGTACACCGGAGGTGCATGCCAAACCTATTATACATGTTTTTGAGCACCTGGAGAAAACCAATGCAGACATGGGGAGAATGTGCAAACTCTACACAGAAAGGCCCTGCCTGGAGGTGGAGTTGTGCGCCGGTTCTCTGAAACCGTAGAGTTGTATCCTAGAAACAATTGCATGTGTGCAGAACTGTAAAGATCTATACGTCTAAAACTGGGCTTCTAATGTAATCGTTCTGAGAGCTACAATAAAGTCTAGTATGTTAAATCCAGTTGCATATGGTCACCACGATTGTCTTCAACAAGTGATGACTGGGCTTTCTCTCAAATATGGGGAAAGAAATTGGGCTACACATTGCGTAGCGCAAGTACGTCACTGTGACCAAGTCAAATTAAAAGTAGTCTGTTCATGAGTCAGCAGCACACTTTCTGCAAAGTTGTGAAAAGCCTGAAAGCATGACTACTAATCCAAAAGGAGAAACACAAGACTAGGCATTGATGGCAGAAGTTTAAAAAAAAAAAATCTACATTTCATCCATAATATGGCTGCAATATGTTAAAATAAGGAAAATTGGAGTATCATTTCAGAAAACACATGCAATCTGAATAACTATACATATCTTGGATGTTCAAAATCTGTTTTCAAAAAGTGAATACTATACCACTTCATGAATAGTATTGAGATTGGAGCTAAATCAATTTGTAAAATACATACATTACCTTTAGAAGCATACAGAACTCAAACACCCTCCTGAGAGATCCAGGAAAAAGTCTGGCGTATGTCACAGCCAACCGGAAGAAGAGGGCATGAAAGAGGCGATCCCGAACATTGATGAGTGGGTTCTGTAGAGTGCGGTTATTGAATGGCACTTCGGGGGGTACGTTGTTTGACATGACCTCTCTCAAACAGGGACCACAGTTAAGGCGAAATCAAGATAAGTCAGCTCAGGTCACCGTGTGCTGCTCCTAGGTGAGAACATCTACAGTTAAGGTAGTGCAAAGAGTTGTCAATGTCCTCAGACCACAAATAAATATAAAATATATAAAACATAACAAGCATAATAAAACAAAGCAAACATTAACATCGACACGAAATATTTCAGATGCCATTTAGGTCGAATACCTTTACTATAACAGTAGAGGTTACTTATAGACCCCAGAAAAGTAAAATTGTAAATGGCTAAACATAGAGCTTAAAGCAGTTCAAATGTTACTGCAGTAACTAGCTAAGTTAGCCAACCTACTATAGCCAAGTAACCAACCTACTATAGCCAAGTAACCAACCTACTATAGCCAAGTAACCAACCTACTATAGCCAAGTAACCAACCTACTATAGCCAAGTAACCAACCTACTTTTGCCAAGTAACCAACCTACTATTGCCAAGTAACCAACCTACTATAGCCAAGTAACCAACCTACTATAGCAAAGTATAGCCAATTAACCAACCTACTATTGCCAAGTAACCAACCTACTATTGCCAAGTAACCAACCTACTATAGCCAAGTAACCAACCTACTATAGCAAAGTATAGCCAATTAACCAACCTACTATTGCCAAGTAACCAACCTACTATAGCCAAGTAACCAACCTACTATAGCCAAGTAACCAACCTACTATTGCCAAGTAACCAACCTACTATTGCCAAGTAACCAACCTACTATTGCCAAGTAACCAACCTACTACGGGCGGCACGGTGGCTGAGTGGATAGCACTCTCGCCTCTCAGCAAGAAGGTCCTGGGTTCGAATCCCGGTCGGACCAGGGCCTTTCTGAGTGGAGTTTGCATGTTCTCCCCGTGTCTGCGTAGGTTTCCTCCGGGTACTCCGGTTTCCCCTACCACTAAAAATATGTCCAATAGTTCTGGCATGCGCCTCCTGTACTGGCGACCCCGCTCCCATCTCTGTGTGGAGTGAGAGACAAATGCCCAAAATTAACAATTGTAAACCGCTTTGAGACTCAGATCTGCAGTGAAAAGGCGGTATATAAATAAAAACTTACTTACTTATTGCCAAGTAACCAACCTACTATAGCCAAGTAACCAACCTACTATAGCCAATTAACCAACCTACTATAGCCAAGTAACCAACCTACTATTGCCAAGTAACCAACCTACTATAGCCAAGTAACCAACCTACTATAGCCAATTAACCAACCTACTATTGCCAAGTAACCAACCTACTATAGCCAAGTAACCAACCTACTATAGCCAATTAACCAACCTACTATTGCCAAGTAACCAACCTACTATAGCCAAGTAACCAACCTACTATAGCCAAGTAACCAACCTACTATAGCCAAGTAACCAACCTACTATAGCAAAGTAACCAACCTACTATAGCCAAGTAACCAACCTACTATAGCCAAGTAACCAACCTACTATAGCCAAGTAACCAACCTACTATTGCCAAGTAACCAACCTATTATAGCCAAGTGATATCACGATCGGTGCTGATCGAAGGATCTTGGTCACACATTAAAGATTAAAATAGCATGTTGCAATGAAAACACGTCCAACCCTCGATGAACTATGTAGTCAGCAAATGTCTCAATTATGTGCAAGTACAAACTACATACATTTACACTGCGCAGCTGCTCTTAATGCGTCATTAGACAAGGATATTGCTTTAAAACTTACCAGCTATAATGTGACTAACAATATGCCCATTTTGTTTCCTGCGTTAAAACGCAGAGAGGAATCTGCAGAGTTACGGTGAATGCTAGCTTGTGTGTAGCTAGCACTGTCAGGAAGGCTAAGCTAACAAACAGAGAATGCGACAGAAGAAACTGGTTCAGACGTGGACAGCGCGGCTTCACACTTGGATAATAGTACTAATAGTACATGGACAATGTGCGACTGTTACTCCTCTCGCTGCGAAACGGAAAATGATGTTAATAATGCAAACGCCTTTAGTTTAGTGAAACATCCCATACGCGACCTATCAGTGTCGACACAGGACTGAAGCTGTGATGTAGAAGCACGAGCCACAGCCACAGCCCCGCGGCTCTGGGTCTACTCTGGTTCCGCTTTGAGTTCACGGCTCTTCCTCAAAGATCCACAAACTTTGTAAAACACGTTCATATGGGAAACAATTCTGATGATATCGAATGTTGCACTCAGTATTTAGAAGTTTGAAAAAAATAGTTATTTCGTGATAGATTCTGTCCAACTATAGACTGTTTATGTGGCCAACTTATTTGTATCTGCGAACATCTAATACCAAAACAATACAGAATATAGCTATATGAATCGTTAATACTTGCCACTTTTTTTTCTTAAAAATACAAATAACATTAGTATATTTTACAGAACAGATAGACCCCTTAACATGTGCCTGATGAAAAATATTGCAACTTTAATTCAAATGTCAGTCATATTGTTATCAATAGCAATACATGACAAGGTACTGAATGTAATAATTATTAGTAACATGGTACGTTATCTATACGTGCCAGTTTGTACAAATGTTTTAGCTCAAAGAAAAGGGAATGTGTGCGACACCAAAGTGCTCTGTCGGGTCCTGGGATATTGTTTAGCAGCAGATCCATCTTTAGCAGCCGAGTCGAGCCATGCATCTTCAATTTGAATTATTATTTGTTTTGAGATGGAATACGTGTGTATAGCCAACTTTACGTTTTGAATTGAAGGTAAAGTGTAACTTAATTCTATTATGTATAAGAAAAGATATAGCGCTCGTCACGATTTGGACCATCACCACAGACTGTATTAGGACATGACAGTCTATGGCAGCCATTCCCAAACTCAGTAACACCGAGGCCCCCTTAAAAATCTGACGGGTCTGCGTGGCCCCCCAAAATAATAACCAAGAAGACAACATTAAGAATAGGCTCTTCTGGTTATTATATTTTGGGGAAATAGCCTCTGCTACAAACATTGTAATACAAAAATGATTACAGTGGATTATTCAAGTCAAATAATGAACACAAATATTTTAATATTACAAACAAAACATTATAAATTTAACATTAAATAATTATATATTTTTTTACTTTTTTTTATGACCTCCCGCGGCCCCCCTGCAGTACCCTCGCGGCCCACCAGGGGGCCGCGGACCCCACTTTGGGAGACACTGCTCTATGGGATATATTCTCTCTGTGGTCCTCACCAAAGGCAGACCCAGATCTAAGTGATCTGTCTGGTTTGTGGAAAAGTATGATTTTATGGGACAGTCAACACTCAACGATATTGAACATCCGATTATAGTTCTTTGTAATGCTTTTTATTCAGTGGGCTTACAGCCAAACAATTCACATCGTTATAAATGTACGCATGACATTTTCAGGTCTAATCCTCGCCTTGCGCCTTTTGGTGGAACCATGGAGCTGGCTTACGTGTGCGAGTGGGAAAAACGTCCTAAAAGCACACACTGTCCTTCCATTCCTCTGGTGTGCTCTTGGTCCTGCAGAAATCTTGTTGCTTTTTCTACAGATTTAAAAAATGACGATGAAGAAAAAGGTAAACAGAATTGGGTTGAACGTGTTTTGATGTTTTGCTGTTTTGTGCAGTGCCATTTAAAATAATCAATTCACAGATGTCAGCCGCATGATCCACATCATTGACACAGAGCACCCTTGGGATGTTTACTCTATCAACTCTGGACACTCAGAAGTTATATCGTGTTTGGAGTGGGATCAATCAGGTGAGGCACAGCATCTGCATCTTTTTCATTATCAATTATACCCAAAAATAATCAACAGGAGATTTTCACATTACTTTTGCGTTTTTGAGGTTCAAAGCTATTATCTGCTGATGGTGATGGAAAGATTAAGTGCTGGTCTATGTCTGACCATCTCGTCAACAGCTGGGAGAGTTTCTTGTCCAGCTCAGTGGATGGGGATCCCATTGTCGCCCTGAGCTGGCTTCACAATGGTGTCAAGCTGGCATTGCATGTTGAAATGGTTTGATCAATTCAAACATTTTACATTTCACATTACATTATTCTCGCTTATTTAACCTTTGGACTTTTCCCTAGTCAAGCTCAACAAACTTCAGCGAAAAGTTTTCCAGAGTGAAGTTTTCCCCATCTCTTACTCTTTTTGGAGGAAAGCCAATGGAGGGATGGTTAGCAGTGACCGTGAGTGGTTTGGTCACAGTATCACTGCTGAAGCCAGGAGGCACCCTGCTCACAGCCAGCGAGAGCTTATGTCGGCTGAGAGGACGGGTGGCTCTAGCTGACATTGCCTTTACAGGAGGTGGAAATATTGTGGTAGCAGCTACAGATGGGAGCAGCTCCTCTCCTGTCCAGTTCTATAAGGTTAGAGCCAGCCAATGGACAAGACGTGCTTTATAATTGAAGCGTTCATATGCAAAAACAAATATCTCAGTTTTCAAATTTTGTCCAAATATTGTATTCCTCTAGTTACAATCTTCATGTTCTGTCAATGGCAGTACACTTGAAGGACTTTGTGCAAGAATGGGTGAAACTTTATTTGGCACTCATATAGATCTGGCTTTTCACAAAAGTATTTTTTTTTTTTTGTAATCTATGTAATCTAAGATATTGTAATCTTTTCCAATATGTTTCCATGGCACTAATCTGTTTTTGCATATAAGCTATTCAATTGTAAAGTGTATATGTGTGAATGTAGTATTAATAATATCATTATTATTACTACATTATGTATTTGCCTTATTCTCATAACATTAAACATATGATGCCAGAGTTAATATAATGTAATATTTCATAATTTTACGTCTGTAACTAGGTGGTGGTTAGTGTTGTCAGTGAAAAATGCCGCATCGACACAGAACTCCTGCCTTCTCTGTTTCTTCGTTGCACAACTGATGCAATTCGAAGAGATAAATACCCAGCTGTCACCCACCTCAAGTTTTTGACCAGAGAAAATTCTGAACAGGTGAAATTAGGCCAATTTGAATGTTCTTAACAAGTTATATACAGTTCATAACAGAATTGTATCTGTGCACTTTTTAGGTCTTGTTATGTGCATCCAATCAGACAGGCAGCATTGTAGAGTGTTGGTCTCTGAGAAAAGAAGGCCTTCCAGTTAATAACATTTTCCAGCATCGATCTCCCGTTGGTAGGATTCTTGTGTTACTTCATTGTATATTTAAAGGCATTTAATCTTAACTGCAGTCATTCACAAATTCCCTTTTCCCATTCTCTTTCAATTGTGATCCCTCTGCAGTGGGTGAAAAACAGCCAACCATCCTGAAATGGCGCATTCTGACAACTACTAATGACCTAGAGAGAGTGTCTGCTATTGCTCTTCCCAAACTACCCATTTCCATCTCCAACACAGATACTAAATTTTGCCCAGGACTTGGTAAGCCAGAATGATGCCTTGATTGATTTTACTGAAACGTATGTGAAAAGGCACTGAGCTTTTAATCTTCTCTAGGATTGGCTCTGGCCTTCCATGATGGCAGCATCCAGATCCTCCACCGCATGTCTCTTCACACCATGTGCGTTTTCTACGGCTCTTCAACCTCAGGCCCAGGACAACGGCCTGGGGACGAGTCTGCAATTAAACGCCAACGAACTGGCGGGCCTGCCATCCATTTTAAAGCCATTCAGTTCTCTTGGACCTCCCTTGCATTGGCAGGAATTGACAACCATGGCAAAGTAAGCATTGTGATATAAAAAGTTAAAATCATTAGGAGACATATTTGTTTAAAAAAGAGGCTGCAAGATTGATTTAAACAAGATTTGTGTCAAATACCCAAAAATCAACAAATCAAAAACAGCCCCTCTTCATTTTAACGCGAGCACTTCCTCTTCCGTTTTATATTTTGCTCCTTAGGGCAGATGAGAGCGTGAATAAGCCTCTGAACATCACCGATTATGAAAAGAAGTCTTGAAGCCAGGGTAAAATGACAGCATTGTTTTAGTAAAACAATAGCCTGGTCGTACCACACCATAGTACAAATGACATTTCGTACTAAGGTCTGGAGGTGCTCCATTGAGCTCCGTTTACAGATAGGAGGGGATAACTCCTTTTACAGATTGAAACGATTGGATCTGAGTTTACCGTGACGTATCTAGTGCGCCCGCCCGAGTCTGTTGTTAGCATTTATCATTTAGCCTAGCCATCTCCTTTGCCGCTAACAGAGCCCGTGGGGAGTAGCGCCACATTTTGTTCCAGCGATTACATTTGCTAAATATTCCTCTTACTCCGGCTTCAATTTCTTAATAGAACCAGACTGGATTACTTTACTATCGCATTTTTCGTCATTGCCAAACTACAACCTGCCTGTTCGACGCAAATTCTTGACATCACCCACAACTAACTACAACATCTGCCTTCCGCGCTCTCTGAATGGTCGGTCAAAATTCAACCGATGGGACTAGACCCAGACGTTACATGCAGTGAATTGATGATTGAACGGAGTGTATGGATGGCTAAGGCCAGGCTAGTAAAACAAGGAAACAAATGGGAATTTGAAACAAATCATGTTTGGATCAGAGTTCTTGCAGAAATCTTATTTTTAAGAGTAAATGAGCTTGATATAAATTGGTCTTTAATTCTGACGCATTAAAGGTTCATATAAACGATTAAAAAAACATAAGTATAGGCAGTTTTATTAATTAATATTACCAAATTTAATTAACTGTACAGGTTTTTTTTTAGTTACAGTCCCAACTTGGCTCATTATTTTTATTTAACTCAATAAAATACAGCATGTAATAATAAAACACAGATCAAGGAACTGGTGCTATGAGACTTGGGTGGCATCTCTGATTGCCACCCCCCTGACCCAGAAATGGATTAAAGGGTAGAAAATGGATGGATGGATGGATAGATCAAGGAACCCCACAGTAAACTTAAATAAGACATGACAGTGTGTTTATATGTTGGTAGATGATCTTCTGCTTGCAGGTTCTACTCCAACTCCTGACTGTCAAAAGCCTCACGTGGCTCACTCTGCATTCTTAATCTGGACATTTTTGTTTTGATAAATTAGTTTTAGAAAATAATTAATTTCTTTTGTTTCTGGGAAGACAGTGAAGTTTTAGATGAAAACAATGTGTCTTTATATCTATAATAGTTATGTATGTTAGATTCCTGGATGGCTGTAGAGCCATATCGAGGAGCAACATTAACATCATCTTTTAAAAGTAAAGATGTGTTTTATTTATCCTTTTTTCATTTATATTCTTTCCTGCAGCTGCAAATGCTGAGGGTATCCCCTTCCATGGGACAGGTGCTTGACATGAACACAACACTACGCCATCTTCTGTTTCTTCTGGAGTACTGCATGGTCACTGGATACGACTGGTGGGACGTCCTGCTGCATGTTCAGCCAACAATGGTTCACAACTTGGTGGAGAAACTGCATGAAGAGTATATGAGGCAGAATCAGGCTTTACAACAGGCAAGTTTATGAACGTTTTTTATATGATCAGACATATTCTTATTGTTATTGTTTGCTCTAGGTTCTTGCCACCCGTATTGTGGCAGTGAAAGCCTCTCTGTGTAAACTGTCCACAGCCACAGCTGCCAGAGCCTGCGACTTTCACGCCAAACTGCTGCTCATTGCCATAAGTGCCACGTTAAAGTCACTCCTCAGACCACATGTGCTTAACTCGCCAGACAAGAGCCCTGGAGACCGACTCACTGAAATCTGTGCTAAGAATACAGACCCAGGTAGGAGCATAGTAAACGGTGCTATACTCAGGTTTTTTTTTTTTCTATGAATAACATTTTAACTTTGTTACTCTTCTAGATATCGACAAGGTTATGATTAATCTAAACACACAGGATTTTGTTTTGGACGGCCCACATTTACAGTCACTGCAGCAGCTCATCCAGTGGGTGGGGGATTTTGTTCTGTACTTGCTAGCCAACCTGCCAAACCAGGTAAGATTATTTTATTTATGAGTTATGAATCATTTCGATTTGTATTGATTTATTTGTTTTCATTTTATTTTGAGAAGCAACAGTATGAATATAAAAAGTTCATGTGCCAAATTAGAGCCTCAGGGTAATTTCTATCTGCTAGCGTAGAGCAAGCACATCGGCCTATATTTGGTCAATGTAGTACATTTTTGAAATATGGATCCTAACTTTCCATCTGGTCGTTTCACCCGAACCCTCCCATGGCATGTTATAGTTGATTAAATAAATTAAAAAATTCAACTGCATTATTTCTTTTATATATATATATGATAATAGATTGAAAAACATATTGCAAAAGGGTACCAACCCAGATAGTCATAATTCATTTTTTAGAAAAGACGGACCTATTAGCATACTCCCTAGTTCCATAGATATGATAATACATGGTAAATAGTGAATTAACATGGCCTGTCTTTCCTTTTCCCACAGGGCTCAATGGTGCGTCCCGGCTTTGGCTTCATGCGAGACGGAGCTTCTTTGGGGATGTTGCGAGAGATGTTGGTCATGATACGAATCTGGGGATTACTGAAGACCAGCTGCCTGCCCACATTCACTGCTACGTCTGACAACCAAGACAGTCTTCAGCTGCTCTTCAGGCTTTTGACCAAATTATGGCTTTGCTGTATGAAGTCCATTCTCTATAAAGATAATTCAGTAGACCAATCCAGTTCCTAAATTCCCTTTTTTTATCTCAGGCAGAGAAGATGCACCACCACAGGATCCTGATGATGGCTTGATAGATGAATGCTGCCTGCTGCCCAGTCAGCTGCTCGTGCCTTCAATGGACTGGTTACCAGTGAATGATGGAGTGATTGTGAAGCTGCAGGGTAAACATCCGCTCCGGCTGCAGTTTGGGAAGCCCTCCTCTCTACCAGGACAGGGCTCCACCACCCCACTGGAGGTCTTCACCAGGTGAGCCAATGCAATGGAACGGTCTGTTCCAACACACTCCTGTAAACCTTATTCTGCGGCGAGTTTCAATGCACGTCGCAGCATGCACTTTTGTCCCGCGCGACAGAGGCGGTGGGTACGGCGGCAAGATGCATGCTGCAAAAGCAGGGGATGAGATTCACTGAACATCCTTGCTCCACGCATGTGAAGCAACCAATCAGAGAACAGCAAAGTGGTCACGGGGACACAAGCCGGGTCAAAACAGGAAGACGAAGACACTCGAAAACCCCCAAAACATGAACTAAACCAGGACTGACAGTGGGGGACACAGAGCTTGTGAACATATCTCACCCTGACTGTGACTGTAAACAACTGCTGCTAACTTGTTCATTGATATGGAAGTACCCACCACTTATGCACTTTTTCCCCAATGCAAGACAGTACAACAGATTGACTGAACTAATGCAGCTGAAATTTAGTAAACGTGCGTCCATGCCTCCATCAGCGCACCTCCATGTATATACTTCTATATACAGTTGTAAATATCATTTTATACTCGTGTCATTGTAAATTCTATATTCAGAGTTAAGTAAATTTGAAACTTAATGTCCATCCATCCATCCATTTTTTTCTGCTTCATCCGTTGCCGGGGCGCGGGGGAATCAGTCTAAGCAGAGACGCCCAGACTTCCCTATCCACACACACTTCCTCCAGCTCGTGAAACTTAATGTCTTACAGATTTACACTATTTCCGCCTGTAAAATAGTGACATTCTGAATATATTGTTCTTGTGTGTTATTGTTGTTGTTGACTAATGACCAAAAACAGGACAATAAATAAAACAAACTTGTTTAGTATATTTTATTTCCAAGAACTGCACATTCTACTGTGCATTAAGTGCATCGTACATGTTTCTACAGGAGCCCTAGTTCACAGAAGATGGATAACCTCCGCTGCATTCACATGGGTGTGTGTCCTACAGAGGAGAGCAAGGCTTGTACCAGGTGATTTTTACACTTTACAGGTTGGTGGTAAACTTGGTGGAAATACATATCTAACTGTGCTGTGCTGTGGTTTTAAGATGTGGGTGTGTGACGATGCTGCGATCTCCAAACAAGTCTAATGCGATGAAGCAGTGGGAGCAGCGCTGGATTAAGAACTGTCTTTGTGGAGGTTTATGGAGACAGATCCGTCAAGCGTTCAACTAAGCCTCCATCACTCGTCAGATCCAATAAAGACTCATGGTTCGTGAATTAAGAGAACAAATATTTTTTCATCATGACTTTTGAACGGGAAATGACTATTTGAAACTGTTGCTTTTGTACTGTAATTTCCTATTTTTTAATTAAATTTTCCTCAAGAAGGAAACAACGTTGTCTGTGTCATGAGCTTGTGTAATAGAAAGCAGTTCAGAAATAAAAAGGTATTTTTACAAGAGTTACAACTTGTGTGTGACAAAATGGATTCTTCAAATGATGTGATGTCAATGAAACAACTTTGTACTTTAGATTTAATTTAATTTGAAGTAGTGTTAAATATTACCAATAATATCATGATATTACTTGTTAACAGTGTTGGGTAGAATAATTGAAAATGTATTCTGTTCCAGAATACTGAAATCATGACCTAAAATGTATTTTGTACAGTATTCTGTTGATTTAGAAAAAGTAGTATTCTGTGTACCTGTATTCTGAGTTTTAATTATTATTTTTTGTAATATTTATATTTATTATAAAATCATGTTTATTTACAAACACATGAAGGTACATTTAAAAAAAATTAAAACCACAACCTACATAAATAAATGTTTAAATAGATAAAAACCTGTTCTGTAATGATTTGATTATTTGTTCTTTAATTATTTTAAAACAAGTCAAAGCTTCAACGGCTGAAAAAATAAAATCTTTACTTTAAAAATACCCAATGTTTGCTTTTTTTTAACCTTAATACGTAATGTGAGAAAGAATGAATTCCCATGATTTTCAAAAAGTAACGATACTCTATACTAGACTTTAAAGTAGTAACTGTAAGGGAATACAGTAACTAAGAAAGAGTGTTCTGAATATGTAATGAGATTACATGCATTCCGTTACTCCCCAACACAGCCTGTGAATTACTTTTCAGTCTCTGTTACGGACTACTATTATGCCAACACTTAACTTTCATTCGTTGTCCTGTCATATTCTATATGAGCGTTAGGTGGCGCTGAGCACTCACTCCTTGACGTCAAATTTGATTTTGCAAAGTTATTTATAGCATATTAAAGGCGCCACAGTTTTTGTATTCTTCTGTGAAACGGTAAAGGTGACGCCCTGGAACTTAATAAAGGATTAAGTACATTTCAAATAAATAATATAAATAAATGATGGAGAAATATGCGACTAACGGGTTCAAAGGCGCTGTTGTTTTTTAGTAATACGTTTTTTCTTTTTCTTTTTCTTTGTTTAGACATGGTTAGGTTGGACCCTTCTGTGTTGTGTCTCTGCTCACAGTAGATGGTGAGAGCACTGGACTTGTTCTGTAATTCTGGCGATGATGATGATGATGATGATGATGATGATGATGATGATGATGATGATGATGATGATGATGATGATGATGATGATGATGATGATGATGATGATGATGATGGGGCATCCGTTGAAGTTGGGGAGGTGCAGAGCGCGTGGAGTTTGCGTGGCGCACTGAGACTTCATCCTCTCTCTCTCTCTCTACGCGTAACTAGATCTTTCCTTTGATTGAGATGTTGCAATGTCCCGGGCAGGTTTACAAGTCGTGGATCTATTCCGGGTGATTTTCGTTGCATTTTCTTGCTCTTCGGACGTGGTCTGTAGCAGTGGATCGGCCAGAGCAGACAGCTGTCATGAGGTGAAGACAGCCTACATGATGCGCCAAATAGGTCCCGTGGAGCTGGTGCCAGACAGAGCCCGGACAGGTCAGTCAGCCATCTACAGGAAACATGCAGGAAATAATCCAACTAACTTTTACATTTTCATATAAGCATGGGTGGAATACTTTGAAAATGTCTTCCTTTCCAGAATACTGAATACACGACCTAAAATGTATTTTGTACAGTATTCCGTTACTTTGGAAACAAGTAGTAGCTTTTTTCTACTTATAATACTTTTATTTATACTTTAAATTATTATTATTTTTATTGTATTCTTTTGTTCGTGGGAAGATTAAAGGACCTCTTAATCCTAATATATTATCTATATTTATTGTAAATTAATGTTTATTTACAAAACGAAACAAAGGTTGATTTTAAAATATTTAATTCCACAACCTCAATACATTTTTAGATAAATAAAACCGGTTCTGTTATTATTCGATCATTTGTTGTTTAATTTTGTAAAACAAGATGTAAACAAATGTTTCAACAGCCACTACTTAACAACCAGAAAAAGTAGGATCTTCACTAAGAATATACCCAATGTTTTCTTTTTTTTCTTAGTTTTTTTTTTAACCATAAAACGTAATATGAGAGAGTATGAATTCCTGTGATTTTCAGAAAGTAACTGTATTCTATATACTAGACTTTAAAGTAGTAACTGTTTGGAAATAGAGTTATTCAAGTTACTGACCGCGTGTTGGGAAAGTGTTTCCACTAATTCTATTGTTATATTTTTGTGTTACTTGTAGCCCACAGCAGGTGCCTCCAACCTTTTCGATTAGAGAGCTACTTTTACAAAACAGAAATGGCAGGGAGCTACTCCTGTTAGTAGTTGTAATACAATTGTAGTCTACACAATAACTGCAGCCAATCATGGAGAACACACATGCATAATATAAAATTATAATAAAAAAACACAATAGAATCATGTGTTAAATTATTGAATCCTTTTGGGACCTGAAAGCGGATGGCGAGCCACTGGTTGCTCCCGAGCCACAGGTTGCAGATAATGTTGTATGTGATTATTAGTTTGCATAATTTAGCTAGCTAGCAGAACAACAATACAGCAACATGCTATTTCTCAGTGGGAAGTATTCATTCTCTATCAAACTAAGCACCGTGACTGCTATGTAATGTTGTTAAGATGCTATGTAAAAGTTAGAATAAGTTTACAGCTAAGTTTATTGTTGTCTAATTCAGGATTTGGGCTCAGGGACTGACATGTAATACAAGCAACTCATATCTGTATATGTTTGTGCTCCATTGTAACCAAAATAGATAGGGGGCATAGTAATATTTCCATTGCTTTATAGAGGTCATTTCCCACACCATAGTTATGTATCTATTTACTTTATTTGACTTCTGTACTGTTCTTTTGCTCTATTGTTTTGTCTTACCGATATTTAAACACAAATATGAAAATCTAATGATGATAAATTACTTGTTTCTGTTATTTGAAATGTGTTTATTTGTATATTTTCTGTTATACCGGCCTGTTCCTTTTGCACATTGCCAGTTACAAATACATAGTCATTCAGGGTAAGCTGTGGGTAATAAGATAAGATGAAAAATGAAATGATGCACAATAATGTTCTAGTGTCTTTCCCTTATGTGTTGAAGATGAGTCTCTGCGTGTGTGCGCGCACTCGGGGCCCAGCTGCTGCTCCAGTCGGATGGAGGAGTACTACATGTCGGCGGTCCGTAGTGAGACGCAGCAGAAGATGAGGTCTTACAGCTTCGAGCTCAAGTATCTGATCTCAGGACATGCCAAGGCCTACAGGGGTGAGATGACGTTTTTGGGATAAGGAAATGTCTTAATGATCATGAAAGAATGATCCACATGCATTGAGAATTACTCAAATAGAAACCTAAAGACTGTTGTACTGCACATGTTTGAATATAGTAAAAGACACAGAGAGCTAGTGCTGTGGTTTATGGACTGCCGCTGTAGTGATTCTCGACAGTTGACAGATTTGTCAAGTGCTCAGGGCACTTTTGTCGATCAAAGTTTGTGTGTTGACCATGAATCGCCTGGTTTGTGTCAGGAATTGGGGCTGATTTATTTTGTGAGGCGCCATGGTGGCTCACCAAACAAACAACTGATGTTCGATTAAGTCTTTGAGAGAGAAAACTCTGCAGGAAAGACAAAATACTGTGTAACAGCTCTGCTCTCTGTCTGCCTGTCTCTGCCACTGCAATAATCAGGTTTTGTTCATGTCCAACGAGAGAGGAATCAACTTAGAATGTTTACATTCACTACGTATCCGTGGCAAAGCGTAGTTGCTGTGGGCAACAGCCGCTCACTAACGGCCTGCGCTGAATAGGAGGAAGAATACACTGCTTGTCCACTTGTCCCTCAGCACCCTTCAATTGTGTGTGTGGATTTGTGTGCATAGAAGTGATGATGAGGAGAGGACTGAGGTAAATGAAATCCAGCTGGCTGGCATGACATATACACTCTTTTATTGACACCTTTTGCCCTACCTGTGTCGCTTTGCTCATCCCAGTAAAAGCCAGTCAGTCAGCATCAAAAATAAAACATTCACAATTCACACAACACATTTAGTTACAGTCAGCTATGCATGGGTGTGTTGAACAGTGCCAGCTTGACCTGGAGACTGACATGCCAAGTGTGCGCACTGTTATGCCCATGGGTATCGGAAACATGCTCTGTCTTTGACTCCAGTGCCCTCTTCACCACTTTGCAGCTGTCACCCAATCAAGCAGTGCAACGAGCTAATCACATGACAAAGTGGTCCCTGAGTTTGCTGCTTGTCATTGCCCGGCTGCCTGTGCTGGGACATGGGCATGTTAAACATAAATATGTCAACTTCAAACAAGCATTCACACCACATGTACCTTATTGTCTTCGAGCATACAGACTAGAACTACACAATGTACAAGGAAAAATTACATATTACAATAACGTTCAAAAGTTTAATTTATTTCTGTAATTCAGAACTGTGAAATATGATATAGATTTTAGACTGATGCAAAGTGACATATTTTAAGAGGAGGAAAACTATGGTCACAAGTTGTATACAGCTTTCTCTCAGAAAAAAAAACATGGACTTAATCATTCATGCCATACACTGTGGTGGTGAACTCCAACGGAAGCACCACCGATCACTCGCGTATATACAGTACACCAGACTCCTATTGTTGTGTTCTGCCTAAGGACATACAGTAGTTTGTGTGCCCCGCTTCCTGATTTTGAGTCCTCCGCCAAAACATGTACTAGCTTCTTTAAATTTCAGATTCATATTCATTTTATTTTCCGCGTGCAGTAAAACCACATTGGAGTACATCCGCAAAAGTCCCCAGAGTAAGTATATAAATAAAACCAGGTTAAAAGTACAGAAAGCACAGTGTTCTCGGTGACTGCGTATGTCCAAATGTACATGGTGGAAGTATTCACAACTTTTTCTTCACACTGTTGTGAAGCATCTCTGTCTTCATATGAACAAAAGGATTATCGGATACCAACTCTATCGCTTTACTGTCGCAGCGTCTCTGTCTGAACGGGTACTAAGCATACATTTTTTTGTATAACATTTGAATATAACGTGGAATACTTACAGACTTTATTACGGGCTTGAGTTAGTCCAAAGAAACACAGCGAATATTATTATTTCTTATTGTTGCCATTGATATAAGGATTTATTTTGCTATATCGAATTGGGGAGGATGCTCTTTAAATAAGACATAACTGAAACATATCTTCACTGGCTTCCTGTGGCTCCGAGAACAAACTTTAAATCAGCTCTCGTTGTTTAAAAATCTCTCCATGGCCTCGCACCAAAGTACATATACGACATGTTAGTGCCATATGAACCGGCTCGAACTCTGAGGAGCGCGGGGACTGGCCTCCTGCTGGTGCCCAGAGTTGGGGCCAGGCATGGGGAGGCAGCGTTTCAGACCTATGCACCTAGAATCTGGAACGGTCTTCCCAAATCTGTAAGACAGGCTGCTACCCTAGCTACTGTATATTCAAGTCCAGGCTGAAAACGTTTCTGTTTTTGTATGTGTTTTTACAGTGTGTTTTTTAAAATGAGTTTTAAATGTTGCCAACGTCAAGCACTTCAGGTTGCAAAAGTTGATTGATTGATTGATATTTTTTTCTCTCTTGTTTTGTTGTAGAGACTTTTGAGTCACTGGTGTCCTTCACGTCCAACCTGACCAGCACACTGTTCGACAGCGCGTACTCTGCTCTGGCCTCAGACTGTCGCCCCCTTGTGTTCCAGCTCTTCAACGACATTAAACACTACCTTTCTGGAAACACAAATATGACTTTGGACAAAACAGTTAATCGATTTTATGATAACATTTTCCCCTTGGTCTATCGTCGTCTTATCAATCCTGGCTTTGGTCCCAAGCCTGCACACTTTGGTTCATCCATCCACAGCAGTCATGATGATTGTTTGAGAATGACTCGACAAGATGTGAGTCCATTTGGACCTCACCCACGCCTACTGGTCAGCGGCCTATCCCGTGCACTTGGGGTGGGTAGAGCACTGAACCGGCTTTTAAAATTGGCCGGGGAGGTGGTCAATGCTACGGAAAAGCTGGCACTTAGCAGAGAGTGTGGGCGGAGCCTGGTCAAGATGCAGTACTGTTCACACTGCAAAGGCCTGACGCTGATTCGACCCTGCACTGGTCTCTGTGTCAACGTAATGAGAGGCTGCTTGGTAAGTTTTTCTATACAGAGTTAAATAATCTTATGATCCCTTGATGCAGATATTATACAACTTAAGTTACAGCACTCATGTCTCACAGAAGGTTGTGAGTTTGATTCCTGTTCCCTCCCAGGCCCTGTGTAGTGTTGGTATGTTTCTCCCATGGATGTGTTTGTTCACACACTCACTAAGCAAAAACACACAGACAAGTCCTGACCAAGCATCAGGGGAGTGGTGCTGCACTGTAGTGACCACTGCTCTTGACAGATTGCCCAAGTGGTTTTGGAAGAATTTGTCAAAAGCATAGGAAAAATGTCTTTACTTCAAATTATGCTTTACCTTTCCTTTTAAGCTGTATGTGAGATCAATGCATAACAAGTGGACAGGGCGTGCAGTACAAGAAGGCTTCATATAGACAGAGTCCTCCAGCTCAGTGCTGACCTATCCGAGCATCAACAACTGGAGATGGGTCCTCTGGCTCTGCACTTTGTACATTCCTCAATTATTTGTTGTTGTGTGTATTAATATAAATACACCAAATTGTAGGCTTTGGGCTAATATCCATGCATTGTTCTACTGTCTCACTCACAAACATATAATACACTCATTCATCTTGAGCACATTGTACATTTTTTAAATGGTATTTGCATCTGGAGCCCCTGGAGGAAACTGGGTCTCTTGTGTGGGTGTTGCTTGGGGTTTTGTCTTATTCTTTAGTTAGGTTTTCTGCATCGGATCTGGACTGAGCTTTACTGGATTGGTTTGGTGTTGTTTTGGCTGACTCACCAGGTCCACCTTTGGTTTGTTACTTTGGGGTTTTGTGTTTTGACTGTGTGTCCCAACTATGTTTTTTTCTTTGGGTTGCAACCAAAGGACAAAATGGCTTCATCTGGAGGATGAATCAAACACAGGACCTTCTTACTATGAACCACACGCACTAACTGCTATGTCACTTATTCCTAGTGGCTTTGCAGGATGGGACCTTTAAGGAATACTATGAATACTGTACACACAAAAGCCTCCAAAGCCCTGATTAGCTATTGAAGCTCTTTGGAGTTATGTAGGAAGACCTTCGTGTGACCAGGTAAATGTCCAGTGTGGCTGGATGGGTGGAGGGCCCTGGTGGAGATCCACATCCAGCCCCTGTCTTTTTCACCCACACTGTGCACCTTTTCTGGGTAACGCCCCTGCCTCTGGCCAAACTGTATTTTATTCACCTGCACGGGATCAAATCAGGTACAGGATAAATGCCATATAAACTGGTGTAGACCTGTTTTGACTGGTGTAAGATGTACCTTTCTATGAGTTGATGGTTTCAGTTTTATGCCAGGATCTTTTTTTCATTGTGCATCACCATCTACATTATTTATTATATTGTCTCTGTCTCAATAGGTCGGTGTGTCTGAACTCGGTGGGCCCTGGAGAAGTCTGGTGGTATTACTACAGCAACTTTCATCTACACTGGCAACCAGCAGCAACCAGAACAGCCTGGAGCTGGCCCTGTTAGCGACTCGAAACCATGTGAATGATGCCATTCTGCACGCACAGCTGCACGGGCCACAAATCACAGCTACAGTAAGATTTATGTAATTAATGACTTTTAATATACACATTGACAAGCTGCAAAATAACTGACATACAGTAGATCTGATTAGATAATTAGCAAAAAAGATAAATGTGTTGCCTAAGGTATAAACTTGTGGTGGGCAACAATAAAGAATTTTAAAAAAAAAGATTCTCATTGAAATTATGAGATCATTTTCATGAATGAATTGTCAAAGCAATTTTGATGCGTCACCGTAGTTTTAGAATGTTCAATATCTACAGGAAATTCAGTTCAAAATGTGATCATAAAAGGAGATTGTATAGGTATAGTACAAGGAAGAATCAGTGTCAGTTTCACACAAAAGCTTTTGGACTGAGGAGTTGCACGACATGCACCTGTAAAAGACCTTTTTTACAGCTATCGTTGTAGTAGATATAATGAGGAGAGACAACTTTTGCAGATAAGCAAGAGTGGCTCTCATGTGGAGAGGACTGTTTTAGTAAAACCACTGTAACAACCAAACATTGCACGCCTCTCCGAACTCCTAACTCAGAAGCATGCTTTAGTCTAATGGAGATATTGTTTATTAGGCCGGATCTATTGTTTCAGAGGACTAATTCAAGCCGTGTAAATGCCTATAGCCCCTCTTCAGTCCTGGGTCAGACCTGGTTTGTCCTGGTATTGAGCAGCTCACAACTTTATCTGCAGGAGATACATCAGTTTGTTTTCATCTTTTAAACCGGCATAAAACAAGGTGCTTTGACGACACAATAATGATCAGTGATATTTACTTAATGCGCTAACTTTAATGTTCCCACCGGCAAACACATGTTTATATAAATCTTTGAAAGAAACAAGTTAACAGATGATATCTTTATCAATCAAGCTCGTTTTTTCCTCATGTATTATTCTGCTCTAATAACAGAATTAATTCAACTAAATTCAACGTTTGTGTCGTGCAATGGGAGTCCCAAGATCATTCAATTCTATTTTTATATTCCTTGAAGGGCCTGTCTATTTTTTCAGAGATTCATGGGTTTCCCTTTCAGTCCATTTAGTGCGCATGAGTGTCTATGTGAGCCTGAATACAGATCTGCTGCCAGACAAAGGCGGTGGTTGGCGGGACAACCAATACCCAGAATGCAGCTTGGTTCGGAGTGATGAGAAACTTTCTGTGGCTAATCTCTGAACAAACAGATACCTCACAAACACGCACTAACACACACACACACACACGCACACACACACATGCACACACACACACACACACACACACACACACACACACACACACACACACACACACACACACACACACACACACAAACGCAGCCACACACACACACACACACACAGAATCTGAGAAGAGGTCCACTAGGAGGGACATTTGTGTCTAAGTAGATTCCTCAGATTAAAACACTGCTAATTGTCTTGTTTAAGGAAACACCACTTCATTAAAGCTGGGATACCTAACTTTCTTGTTTCATAAATAATATATTTTGTTTGTCGGAACAGAAAAAATCTTAATAGTAACATTTTGTGAACAAATCTGACAACAACAGACTGTCTTCATCCTATAAGAACATTTGCAAACTCATATAAAATCATACATATTCACTGTACATTAAAAAGAAAGATGAAAATATAAAATATAAAAATGTATGCACAGCTAAACAGAACTGTTTTCAACCTTGTCTTAAACATTGTCAGAGAGGAGGCCTGTCTCACATTTTCAGGAAGATTGTTCCAGATTTTAGCAGCATGAATCTGAAAAGCAGCCTCCCCATGTTTAGTTCTGACTCTGGGCACTAACAGGAGTCCAGTCCCTGTGCTCCTCAGAGTCCGGGCTGGTTCATATGGGACTAACATGTCACTAATATATTTTGGTGCGAGGCCATGGAGAGACTTGTACACAAGCAGAGCTGTTTTAAAGTCTATTCTCTGAGCCACAGGAAGCCAGTGCAGAGACCTGAGGACTGGACTAATAAAAGTTGATAAAAGTTGAGATCTTTCTAAAGGTGTATATTCTCGTCCCATTTAATTTTTTTCTCTAAAATGTAGCCTACCTTCTTGATTCAGTTTTAATGTTATTTAGTATCTGATTTCTGATTTTTTGAATGGCTAGGTAAAAAGCTTCCACCCCATAACTTCTTTAGTTTTTTCTGTACTTTTTCCGCAGGTAGAAAAAGTGTGTGGTCCTCATGCAGCTGTCCCTGTAATGACAAGAACAAGTCACTCAGCTCTCCGCACAGCGACCTCCATGGCCCCAGTGAAATTTGAAACGTCCTCACATCTCTCTCCTTTGGACAGCCGACATTATCGTCCACCACCACAGAGCCGCAGGTGCCAGCATTACAGCTATAAATAACAACTATTCCAAAAACTCTGTAGCTATGCCTTTTAAATGCAGTATACATCGTTATGGTTCCGATATGAACTGATTCACTGTTGAATTGAGGATTCAGGCCGGAGTGAAATGAATGCATTTGCTTTGTGTTTTTGTTGTTGTAGATCACTTCCCATCAAAGGTTCCAAAAGGGAAAAAAATCGCAGCCTGAAGAAACTCTCCAGGTTGGTTTTTTTGCTTGATAGACATATTTGAATAGCTATTGAATAACTATAGGCAAGGCAAGTTTATTTGTATATCACAATTCATACACAAGGCCAAGTCTGAACAAAACAAGATAGAAACAATCACACAAGGCAATGTAATATATAATAACAGTTAATTAAAAATAAAGATAAAATTATAAAATCCCTCTGTTGTATGCACAGCTAATCAGAACTGTTTTTAACCTGGATTAAAATATTGACAGAGAAGAAGTCTGTCTAACATTTTCAGGAAGATTGCTCCAGATTTTAGCAGTATGAATCTGAAATTCAGCCTCCTCATTTTTATTTATGACTTTGGGACCAGCAGGAGGCCAGTCCCTGTGCTCCTCAGAGTCCCAGCAGGAGGCCAGTCCCTGTGCTCCTCAGAGTCCCAGCAGGAGGGGAGTCCCTGTGCTCCTCAGAGTCCCAGCAGGAGGCCAGTCCCTGTGCTCCTCAGAGTCCCAGCAGGAGGCCAGTCCCTGTGCTCCTCAGAGTCCCAGCAGGAGGGGAGTCCCTGTGCTCCTCAGAGTCCCAGCAGGAGACCAGTCCCTGTGCTCTTCAGAGTCCGAGTTGGTTCTTTTGGGGCTAACATGTCACTTATGTACTTTGGTGCGAGGACTTGTACCATACAAGATGATACTGTGGTTTGCAACTTTTGCACATATTGTCATGTTACGACCACTAGCATAACCAGTTTATTTTCTAAATCAGCCAATCCCAAACTCAGTAACACCGAGGCCCCCTTAAAAATCTGACGGGTCTGCGTGGCCCCCCAAAATAATAACCAAGAAGACAACATTAAGAATAGGCTCTTCTGGTTATTTTATTTTGGGGAAATAGCCTCTGCTACAAACATTGTAATACAAAAATGATTACAGTGGATTATTCAAGTCAAATAATGAACACAAATATTTTAATATTACAAACAAAACATTATAAATTTAACATTAAATAATTATATTATTTTTTAATTTTTTTTATGACCTCCCGCGGCCCCCCTGCAGTACCCTCGCGGCCCACCAGGGGGCCGCGGACCCCACTTTGGGAGACACTGTTCTAAATGATATATGATTGTATTAAAAATAACCATTTCTCATGACTGTTTAATGCTCACATCTTGCCATTACAATTAATTAGATCCCACCCACTCTCTACTCTCAGTATAATTAGTGCTGTTGTTGTTCAGAGTCTATTGATCTCTAAGTAGCATCATGAAGTCCAAGACCAGAGTCAGGGACACAGTTTAAAGAAGTGTTAAGTTTAGGAGCACTGTTCAATCCATTATTCAGAAATGTAAAGAGTGTGTTATCCAGTGGGGGCGGGTCCCGGCTCCAAAAGGTCCATGAGCACGTGGGCTGACATGCTTGTACTCTCACTCCGGGCCGGTGGGGGTGTACCCGGAAAGAGAATCCCCCAATGCTTTTGTTTGGCGTCTTGTTTCAACTCAAAAATAGCTTTACAGGAGGGTTCAAAAAGTCACAATAAAACAGGAAATAAACCTAAACCATGACAAACTCTCTCAAACATGAATGCAAACTATAGTTTTAGGACTTATTTCCATTGAGGATAATGCACTACATGTTATGCATAAATACATATGACATCACCATCTACATTGTTGTTGTTTTTCTGTCAGGGAGTTCGAGGGCTCCATTCAGCGCTACCAGTGGTTCTTTTCAGAGCTTCCCGAGACGCTGTGTGAAAGTGAGATGGCCGTAGAGCAGCACACTTGTTGGAGCGGCCAAGATGTCGTTGAGAGGTAAAATACATAAAACAAAAGTTGGTTATGCAATGGCGACGGCATGAGATTGTGAGAGCGTTTTGTGACCGTGTGTGTGTGAGTCTGGTATATGGTCGCACTGGGGGCTGGGTTTGGAAGGTTGCGGAGTTCATTTCCAAAGTCTTTATTATGGTGATTTTGTTGGCAGCGTTTTATGGTGATTTAAAGTGGCAAAAAACAAGCGGTCAACCGCGAACGTAGCCACACCCAAACATCATTGAACACTTGGATGTTATACAGTAGATCAGCGATGTCAGAGCCAAATACATCAAAGGCCAAAAAAACAAATTTGCTACAAGCCGAGGTCCGGACTGGTTCAATGTTCATTAAAACATATTAAAATGATGCATATCACCTATTGAACCAAGACTTAACACAGTGTACCATATTTTATTTAATGATTAAATTAATAATCCAATATTTTTGTATGGCTCTGACAGTCATTTCAAGAGAAAACATTTGTCAACAGGCTCAAAAACAAACATCCTTCTAAGAGAAAACACCTGAACATTAAATTAATAATCCATTATTTTCTTTTGGCTCGGTGCGGCCGGTTGTAATACTGATCAAATATCGTCCCAGGGACCAAGATAAATAATTTGTGGGCCGGATCCGGCCCCCGGACCTTGACTTTGACTCCCATGTTAGAGATGTTTGCTCCCACTGTCATAACAATGTGCAGCTTTAATAATAGACAAGAGAGATCCTTTATGGCTTCAAATGGTGCTCCATACTTTTTCATTGAGTTTTTTGAAAGGTATTTTATACAGTATGTAAAAGCCCCTGTGGACTAGTGTTGAAAACTTAAATAGAAATAAAAAATAAATAAATATAATTAGGTTGTAGTAGGGGGCGACAGTGGCTCAGTTGGTAGAGCACTGGCCTTTGAGCCCGAAGGTTGTGGGTTTGAGCCCACCGAAAGACCTACTTCATGATTCCCACTGATGTCTACCATGCTGTTGTTGTGTCCTTGGGCAAGACTTAACCCCACTTTGCCTGAAGCCCTCACTGAAAGATCTCAGCTCCTGTGGACTCACCACCTGCAGGAGGATCAGTGAGGGGCTGGTGCTCTGTGGACTGGGTGCAGCTCTGACTGCCAACCCCGACCCAGAAATGGATTAAGGGGAAGAAAAGGAATGGATGGAAGTTGGAGTAGCTAACTTTTTGATTCATTTAATACAGTTTGTTAGTCCCAGCAGAAAGTCTTGTCTGAGTAGTATTTTGTGAAAACATCAGACCACATTGTCCTGTGTTTTGATTTTTTCTCATACATACTGAGAGCTGATTGGCTGAGAGAGGGCTGGTTCTCTTTGTCTCTGAATAAGCTGACCTAAAGATGTGACTTAGGCCAAAAATACATACATTTGAAAACTAGTCATCTTTATTTATATAGCGCCTTTCACGGACAAAGTCACAAAGCGCTTTACAATTGTGGGCGTTCATCCTCTCACTCTGTACTGGAGGCGACTGCATGATTTGTTAGACCAAGAATCAATTTGAATTAGTTAGTCAAAAACAAAAACAAAAGAACATTCTTTGGGCCCCTCACAATTCCAAACTGGTGGGACATTGGATTTATGTCACATTGCAAATAAGAATAACCCAAAATGTAGGACTGTTATGAACAAGTTATTTAATCAAAGTAAATACAAAAACAAAATCCAGAGTAAAAACATAAACTGAACTAAACACAGGGTTTAGACAAAATAAAATAAAATAGACATTGACATGACCCCATTTATAAGCTTTGCAGAGCTATTTTTCATAAATCACAAAGATATACAAAACACTTAATGTATTGGGGATGTGAAACTATATAATTAAAAAAAATGACAATGATCACAGAATTACTCACCAGACACATGTCAGACACATGAGGGCAGGGCAGGAACTCACACAACAAGAACAACTAAGGGGTTGACAAATTTGTTTAACTGTTTTGTTTTGTTTGGTTTAGTTTAGGTTTCTTTCCACCTCCAGACCTTTCTGTGTGGAGTTTGCATGTTCTTCCTGTGTCTGCGTAGGTTTCCTCCAGGTGCTCCGGTTTCACCTACCACTAAAAACATGTACTATAGGTCTTATGTGGGCCTCCTGTACTGGCCCCGCTCCCATCTCTGTGTGGAGTGAGACAAACAACAATTGTAAAGTGTTTTGTGACTCTGGTCTGTGAAAGGCGCTTTATAAATAAAGATTACTTACTTACTTTTGTCAGTCCACTCGTAAAGTATAACTATCAAGCTACTTGGTTAACAAAACATACACTTAATACTGCATCTGACTTGATTCTGAGATGAATTAAGTTATAAACCGAAAACAAAAAGAAAGTATAAAGGGATAAAAGTAGAAAGTAGTCAATTTTTAACAACAACATTGTATGCTATTATTGTTACGTCCGGCTCAGCCAGGGAGTAATGAACGTAACAAAAACCAGATGGAAATGGTATGAGTCCATTATAAGTAAATTTAATAATGATAATAAATAAAATAAATTGTGGAACGAAAGAAGAATACAGAAATAGCAAGGAAATAATGTCACTATACAACAAAACTAGAGCTCATAATAACGAAGTGACAAAATAACACAGCAACAACACAGGAGAAGAGGTGAAGGCAGACTGGCATGGAACAGGTCCAGCTGCCCCGAGCTGGCGGAGAATGGGAGGACGCCCTCATTGATGGATCCCCGGGGTTCTTCTCCCTCTGCAGCCACTCAGGTGACAGACCGGCCACGCCCACTCTTGAAGCTCCTCCAATAGATCACCTGTACAGAGCAAGGCACACAAACACAACAAAGGGCAACGGGAGCGCCATCTAGTGCACAACTGGCACAATAGGATGTTGCCCGTAACAATTATTATCTTTAATTATTTAGTCTTTTATTGACTTATTAATTGAAATTTGATTTTACTTGATATGACACAAAAGCTTCCGGGTCTCAGATTTTCAAAGTGTGGCCCCATGACTGTCAGTGTTTGATCATCATTTCTTTCTTCAGCAGATATCACATCATTTGTCTGTGTTTTATTAATGTCTGTATTCTTATAAGTGTTAGCCATGAGTTGGAAGCCTTTTAAACAGTAACATGATTTTATGTTGTCTATCTGTTTTGAGTATTTTAAGTTTATTTTTAGTTGTTAAATGTTTTTTGCTACCCATTTAAACGCATTGTTATTCCTTTCTCCATTGCAATTCTCCATTGCAAAATTTGGAACGACACAGACCCACTAGGTCAGTTTTATGACCAATCACAATCCTTCACATATCCGTATCATCTCATATTCAGATTCATGACACAGTGACATTGTGGATACAGAATATACAGTTTTGTGCAGAAGCCTGGAGCGTTGCCAGTGTGTGCCTCTCTGGCCTCTTTACGTTTTCCCATTCATTGTGCGTCCCATTCATCTGTCCATCCTCCTTTTGAGTTCCACCCTCTGACCCACTTCACTCACTCAGGTTTATGTCTGTGGCAGATAAAGTGCTCACAAGTTCAACCCAGTATGAGTTTTAGGAACTTTACGTCTTATGCGTTGCTTCATTTCCTATCCCAGAGCAATAACTGTGACATGTGTACGATATAATGCAAATGCAAGGCTAAAACTATCCTGGAAAGGTCTCAAGTTTTTATGTGATTTTGCCACTTGTTTACTATATATGTTTCAATGAGTTTCTAGTTTTGGTTCATTTGTATCTGGGAAACATTTTTTGAAAACAATTTTAGTGACCAGAATGCACATTTATGAACAAATAGATTCACATTCAAAATAGAATCCAAGCATCCAGCCTATTATTATTGTATAAGATTACGTGTTTGTCTTATCAAATGGTGTAATAGCAGGTTTCTTCCAGTAGGGGGAAGCACATAACCATCTCACAGCGGTCCACCTTCTTATGTCAATAGCACATTTATCATCATCATAGTATTGTTTGAAGTGTTTGCTTTGGTTTGTGGCAAGTAGATTTTAATGATATGCTCATGGGCAACTAATGGAATAAATACTCTGGAATATACAAATACATAAAAGTGCAATTGATAGGTTTACTGACGGTATGTTTAGTGTGTGTGTGTGCGTGTGTGTGTGTGTGTGTGTGTGTGTGTGTGTATGTGTGAGTGACATAATGCAAGGAAGGCATAAGGCAAGGACATCTTTACTTTAATTTCCATGTGAGTGGATAGAAGCTGCTACAATCTGAGCTTGAATCTGCTAATGCTCTACACTACTTCTCTTATTAATATTCATCTGTATCTCTATCATTGTGTTTTTTATTTATGTTATGTGTTTTTGAATGTTTTTATTTTTTTTAATGCTCCTGTGGACTCGCCACCTGCAGGAGGATCAGTGAGGGGCTGGTGCTCTGTGTACTGGGTGCAGCTCTGGCCACCCCCCCAACCCAGAAATGGATTAAGGGGGAAAAAATGGATGGATGGATGGATGGTGTTTTTGAATGAAATAAAAGAACATTTTAATTTCTTAACTTTTTTTTCAAAGGATATCACAGTCCATGTTTAAAGAGATACATTAAAATAATAAAACAAACAATTCAAAACTAAATTAATCACGGCACATTTACTTTTAAAATCCTTGATTTGAATGCACAGTTTAATTTGAACGTTGTCCCACATTTTCAGACTTTTCAGATTTGCATAAATCTTATTTGGTGAAATAATCCGTTTTATAATCTTACCTGCAGTAAACAGTCAGTATGTAACACTAAACCTCCTGCATTATAGAGCTGTCAACCATAGAAACGCTTGGTCGCCGAAACAAATCCTCTGTCAATCAATTAGTCAACTACAACGTGGCAAATGTTCTAAATCAGGGGTCTCCAACCTTTTTCAATCAGAGAGCTACTTTTAGGCAACAAAAGAGGCAGAGAGCTACTCCTTTTTGTAGTCATAATAAATAAAAACAATGTACTAATTACGACAAAACAGAGAACATAGATATACCATAATACTATAAAACCCTATATTTATA